AACACAAATCATTTCAGATTTTTCGTTTGTTACCGGAATGGTAAATGCGCTGTGCAACCGGTGGGGATCAACACATTTTATAGTTTGCGGATAAAAATTGCTCAATATTTTTGGTGCTTCCTGATTCCAATAGCTATAGCTATACACAGGGCATTGTATGCAAAGGAGTGCAGTTACCATGGTGGTTGATAATGGGAGCAGTATCCCTGATTTGAAAAGACTGGGGGGATGGTCTTCAACATCTTCTGCTGAGGGTTATATAGGAGAAAGCATTCAAAATAAAATTCAAAGATCGAAGAAAATTTTTAGAGGCTCCAATCATTCCTGTTTCAAAGGATGACTCTTGGCAGCACTTATCCTTATCAAGTTCAACTATTATGGATTTTTCATTAAACGAATTTTTCAAAAGTACAAATGGAATTTCATTCCAAATTATATCTAATTGTACATTTAATATTTATGAACATAAAATGGTGAATATTATTTTTCGTTAAATGTCAGATTTGTGTTGCTAACGAGTCAAATCTTGCTATTGAAGTGTTTCTAACCATTAAAGTATTGCTGTTTTCCATTAATGATACAAAAAAATAATTTTCACATTTATTTTACGAGAAAGGCACTTTATTTTAACGAATGTATGAGATTTGATAACTGTTAACTAACTTTTGGGAGGGAATAGAAAAAGTAATAAATACAGAACTATTTTATTACAAACAGGTATTTGATTTAATTACATTATACCTAAACCATTAAAATAAAATATGTGTACATCGATTATATTTGTACAGGGTATACCAAATACAGGTTAAAAATAATTTTTATTTATCTTGAATAGTTCGGTCCAACCTGTACATTACATTAATTTAGAGGTATTTCTTCTTGCAATTGTTTTTTATTAAGTAATTTAACAATAATATACACCAATGTGCTTAAAACAAACAACAAAATAATTGTTATAATAATAAGAATGCTTACAATTGGTGTAGTTTCCAATTGTTTTGAATTGTTTGTAACCAAGTGGGCAGGGGAAATGTAACTTGTACTTTGTAAATTTTTATTTATAAATATTTCATTTAGTTTTAGGTTAAAATTGTCAAAAAATCGAGCCATTGATGTATTTAATACATAAACAAGTTGATTTTGAACCGCATTGTACATATTTTTATAAACTTTTTCGTTTATAGAATTATTTAAAAATTTAACAAAATTTGTTTTTAAAATATCGTTGTTTAAATAGTTATTAATAGCTTTTGTATTTGTAGGGATCATATCCTGCAAGATATACGTATTGTTTTTGGCAGGGGAAATGTTTTTATTTTTTAATATTTCATTTAGTTTTAGGTTAAAATTGTCAAAAAATCGAGCCATTGATGTATTTAATACGTAAACAAGTTTATTTTAAGCCACATTGGGCATATTTGTATTATTTAAAAATTTAACAAAATTTGTCTTTAATATATCATCGTTTAAGTAATTATTAATAACTTTTGTATTTATAGGGAGATTATCCTGCAAGATAGACGTGGAGTTTTTACCATTTTGAAATGAATTTAATAACTTAAAAAAATTACTCTTTTTAAAATCTTCATCAAAATATCTAAAAATTGAAGCATTTCTTACATCAAAGTTATCCTTATTTGTCTCGTTGGATTCGATCGCATTGTCCGATTTTTCAGATTCAGTTTTTGAGCATTTTATGCCAAATGCATTGTCTTTAATACGTTCATGTCCCTTTTCAAGCACAATTAATCGGGAACTTAGTTCTTGGACTACGCCGATTAAAATTTTACACTTCCATTGGTTTCCGTCTAGAGATATCGTTTTTAAATGAGGAAACGATTTTAAAGTTTTCTCATTAAAATCTTTTATTTTGTTATAAGCAAGTCCTAAATACTCTACATTTAATACAGTGAATCCATAAACCGAAACAAGATTGTTGTGAGTCAAATTTAAAGCTGTTAAATTATTGAAATGATCGAAAAAGCCCAAGGAAATTGTTTGCAGGTTATTGTAGGATAAATCTAAATTGGTTAAATTAACTAAATAATGTAGACTACTAGAGAGCGTAACTAATTTATTATTGTTTAAATTAAGATCACTTAAATTTTTAAGTTTTGAAAAAGTGTATGGTTCAATATCAGATATATTATTATAGCTTAAATCCATTGTATTAACGGTTGAAATGTTATTAAACATTAAATTTTTCAACTGGTTTATTTTATTATGCCCAATAAAATACTTTGAAATATTAGAAAACCTGCAATTTAAGTAGTTTTCTGTATTTATTAAATTCTGTGAAATATCTAAAAAATATAGATTTTTTAATGAGTAAAACAGATTCTCATATAAATGGGTGATTAAGTTATTTTTTAAGTTTAAATCTGCTAGATTTGATAAACCTGAAAATGCATGTTCCCCAACCAACTCAATTTTATTGCACTCTAAACTTAATACTTTAAGATCAGTTAATGAGTTAAATACTCCTTCCCTTATGATTTTCATATTGTTATTATCTAAATATAAGGAATTCAAATTATCGCAAACTTTGTTAAAGGCTCCTGGAATTATGTTAATTATTTTTAGGTTGGTTAGATGAAGCTCCCTGTATTGAAATGTATCACAACTTTTTTCAAAATAAGACGATGTAATATTTTCTGGTATTTCTGTGGTTATACGAAATTTTATTATTTTGTCTTGAAAAAAATTCTTACAAGGATAATTATTTTCAACATTATTATTAGACAAGAATAAGCTATCAATATTTGTACAGTTTAATTCATGGTATGTAATACAATTTCTCCAACCATAGTTTGGAATATTAACTTCCTTACGTTGAAAGTCTTCGATACAGGATTGAGTATATCCATTTAATATTTGTAAAAACAATATTACAAATAATTGAAACATAATTCTAAAAAAAGAACAAATATTTTTTGAATAATATTAAGTAGAAATTAAGGTGATGAATTCATATATTCATAGCATTTTTCTAAAAATATTAATAAGAAAAATAAAATAAATAAATATTAATAAGAAAAATGTTAAAACTTCCTACCTTTTATTTTGGAGAGCAACTTTTAAACTACTATTGTAACAACAATTAAATGACACTTAAATTGGTATTTTTAAAGATACAGGAAGCGAGGCTGGCAGAAGATAAGATATTTCTATAGGGAGTTTTCAATAAATAAAAAGTGTTTTGCATAAATAATATTATATTATACTATAGCCATATAGGCCAGTACCTAGTAGATCAAGCCTTAAAATGGGATATTAACTTTGGTATTAATTTTTTAAATTAAATTCTCTGTATGAACTTCTGACTAAGAGATGGCACAAAATCTTTTGGAAAATACATAATTTGTAGCTAAAAAGTATTTTTTTTAATTGGATTTAAGACCCTTACATTTCCAGATAAATGGCAGCACATTATTAAAAAAATGCAAAAACTGGATCCATTTCAAAACCCAAGATGATTTTCTTAAAAGGTTTTTAATACAAAATTGCGGTCGATTCTGAAAACAAACAATCCTGTATATTGTTTAGTGTAATATGTCATCCTCTGTTAAAAACTGATTCAAAGATGATAATGAACTACCATCATGTGATATTAAATTAAAAAAAAAAAATTTTTGACCTTATTTTGTAAATGACATAATTTTGCTAAACAAAAAGGCATAAAGATACAAGTGAAACTTTAAAATACAGAATGCGAGGCCAAAACTTTAAAAGCTAGTGGAGCAGTATTATAAAATGTTATGATAAATTCTTGTTTCTTTTTAAAAATGGTGTATGCTTCGGAAACAATTAACCCCGGTGCATTCGCCATTTTTAATAAAGATAATTTTTCCGATATTCTAAAATAGGATGTTATTTTATTGTAGGACAACAAGTTATAACTTATAACTTATAAGACAAAAAATGTAAAGCTTAAAATGTTAAACATATTTGTTTTTTAAGGGAACACGGAAATTGGACATTTTACCGTGTTAGACATACCAAAAATCTAGCTAGTTACTACCCTAGTTTTAACAGGTCGGAAAAAAACAGAAAAATTGCGTTTTTTTTTTCTTTTTTTGGTAAAAATTGAATTTTTTTTTGGGAAATATACACATTTGAAAAAAGTAGCAATCAACGATTTAACATTATTTTTATTTAAAAAAAATATTCTTTATTACAGAGAAAAAAATAAAACTAAACATTGAATTAAATTAAATTGATTTAAAAAAATAACGTAAAGGTTAAATATACGGTTGGGTCTTTTTTGCAAAAAGGAGTACATTGAAAATATCCAATTACAAAATAATGAATGATTTATAAATTTAACTTAAGTTAAATTACAAAATTATAATTTTATAAAGTTCAAATACAACGAAAATTATGAATTAACATCACCGAATATATTTTTTTCGGGCCGATAGATTAGTCTTACTGAATTTTAAAAAAAGGAATAATTATTATAATTTTCTCGATGAAAAGAAAAAATGGCAAAAGTAATTTTTTCTGAACATTTGTCAATTTTTCCGTTTTTTTTTCTCGAAAAAAAACCGGTTTTTTTTCCGCCGGATAAATTTTTCCTGAAATTTTATCATCATCATTAAAATAACAAAAACAATTCTTATAGTAATAATTAACTTTCCCTTTTGCGTGATATGGCGTTGGGACGTCATTTTCAGGACCACCTGTAGCTATATAAATTAAAGTGCATATTTTGTGTATGCAATCCACATTACGCTAATTCTCACTTAGATTGCCTACCACATATTGTTTTAATTACAGTGTACATAAACCATAGATTAACGAAGAACTTAACTAAAAACAATGTTTTTATCATTCATATTGAAGATAAAAACGTATGTCATAGGTGTACTTAACTTATTTTTATTATTGAAAAAATCTCACAGGGGGTCATAGATAATAACCAAAGTTATCAGTTCGTAAGTATCAAAACAATTAAGTAACAATCTTAAGTCTTTGAGATACGCAAGTGCTATAGTAAATAAGAGAGGGGGGAGTGGTTGGAAAGTTAGCGACACAGTTGGAGCGCTGCATTGTATTTAGCGCGGTTCGAGAAAATGGATATCAAGAAGGTTTTGGTGGCAGATGCCGTGGATGTAGCGTGCACGGACCTTTTGAAAAAACACGGTATCCAAGTCGACTGCAAATACAAGCTGCCCAAAGATCAACTCATCCAGGAAATACCGGTAAGATTAGTGTTTTGTTCCCTTTCACTGATTAAAATTAATGCTTGGTATTTGATATGGATAAAAAACTGATGAATATATTTGCATGTTAATTCAGTGGTTAGGGTTCAAGTTTATTTGAAAATATAATGTTTTTGTAGTACCTATATGGAATTTTTTGATAACTTTAAGTAGGTATTTACTAATCAATTTAAATCTCAAAATCTTTATAGGTACTTAATTGTTAACAATACATACTTAAAGTAGGTACAATAAACCTAAATTACATTATTATATTGTATGAAATTTCCGACAAAAGGGTTTAAAAAAATGCCAACAATAAATGATCAAATTGTGCCCAATAATATGCAAAAGCAGTTTGGTTACCGTAAATAAAATAAATAAAAAAAAATATTTTAAATAATAAAAATTGGAAAAAAATATTGTTTTTTTTATGAAGAATCCTAAGAAAAGTTTTTTAAATTGTTTTGTAAAATAGTGCTTTCCTTTGATTTTTGGCACGTTGCTTTGCATTGTTCAAGGAAATCTCTCGTGTTCCTGTAAACTCTCTAGAAAAAATACTGTGTTATAATACATTAGACAAATGAATTACGATAAGGCTATCAAGAATTATGTTTTATTAAACATTAAGAACTTATTGTAAAATTGTTTGTGATTGGTAACTTTATATGCTATGAAAAACTTTTAAAATAAAAAAAGAAATCAATATTAAAACTCAATGCAAAAATTACAATTAACTTGCTCACTTCAGGCACTATAGGTCTTTAAACCAAATATTTTTTTTCCTCTGTGACATAGTTAGAAAATTTATTTTTAAATTGTCCTGCTCATAGTAAAAGCCTTTTACACATAAACACTATTTACCTAGAAAAAGGCAGTTTTTTCTTCACTACAACTTCATGCAATGAGATGAAAATCTGTAAAAAAAAAATTACTAAGAATAAACAAAAAATAAGTACATAATACGAGGTGTATTCAGAAAATATCGAGAATTTTCGTTTTTTGAAACAAATATTTATTTATTCGTCTACATTAATGTTGTCGCCTTCAAAATAGTCCCCATTGGATATTATGCACACGTGCCAGCTCTTCTTCCAATACTCGAAACACTTCTAAAACTCGATCTTTGGGATAGCCTTTAGTTCTTTCAGCGATGCGCTTTTAATGTCATCTATGCTTGCTTAACGACGGCCCTTTAAGGTTCTCTTTATTTTTGGGATTAGGAAAAAGTCAGACAGAGGCATGTCTGGCGAATATGGAGACTGGGGCATCATTAGAGTATTGTTTTTGGCCAAAAAATTTTGTTCAAAATTTAACAATTTTAGAACAATTTTTTCTGCCACGCGTTTCATACCCAAAACATTCGAAAAAATTTCATGGGATGAGCCAATCGATATAACAACATCATCAGCGACTTCTCTGATGGTTTATAACCATTTCTTTCACTTTTTCCATGTTTTTATCGGTTGTTAATGTGCTTGTGCGTTCGGGGCGTTCGTCATCTTCAACGTCTTCACGGCCATCTTGGAAACTCTTATACCACTTGTAAACTCTTGTTTTACTATAGCAGACTCACCATGGGCCTTTGTTAACATTTAATAAACAGAATTTATTTAATTTTTTAAGCAAAATTGGATACAAATTCTTTGATCCATTTCTTTTAACAAACGAAAAATCGCCGAGCTCATAAAACACGTCTAACCTTAGCGGCTGCCACAGACAAGGTAAACAATGAAAACAGCTAAAGTTTTTATCATACTTCGGGGACATGTATACCAACATAATAAAGAAAATTTTATGACAACCGGACCCTCCGAACCCGCGTAATTTAACAATTCGAAAATAACGGGATCCCGTTATTTTCTGAACACTCCTCGTATAGAACTACAAATGCATTATTTGCCAATTGTCTACCAAACTTCATAGAAACCAAGTTGGCCAAAAAAACTCTACTTAAGTCTTTATTTTCATGCAGTTTTTGTGCTATCGCGTTGGGAAATGATTGCCATAAAATATGTCAATTTTTGTTCAAACTTAATGAAAATACAATTTATATGTCCAAATAAACCCCAATAAATGTAAAATATCGTACACCAAACTTGGTTGGGAAAAACTTGACTATTTTCTGTTTTTTTTCCACTTAATATTGTATAAAAAGCTTATTGAAATAATAATAATAATAATAATTTAAGATAAGAATAATATTATTAATTATGACTCTATTATTGCAAAGCAGAACTGATTTTGATGAAAACTATTTTTGTATTATTCAAATAAGTATTATGTTACGAAATATAATATAATAAGTATTTACGACAGATATATTGAAATTATCATTGTTTATATTTAACATTTTACAATGTTAAAACATAATATACCTACATATGTAATATACATATATAATTTAAAACCTTAAAATAATAAATTGTTTTAACATTTAACTAATACCTCAAGAATAATAAAAGCAACATGTTTTACATATATGTATACAGTATACAGTATGACCCATTTGTTTGCGACTCACATACAAAAATATATATTTTTTCGGAGGGGTAGTTTTCGAGTTATAAGGGTTAAAAAATTGTTTTTTTTTTTGTTGTTTTAATATTTTAAGACTTTTTATTTATATAAAAGAATATAAAACAAACTTTTCAAAAATGAAAACTTAATTACAAAGTTAACTTAATTCTGAAGATTTAAAGTAAACCATGGTAATTCAGACAGCAGCAGATGCTTGGTTTATTTTGCATTATCCTGTAGACAATGAATTCAATTTGTTTGTTTATTTCAGAATTATGATGGTTTGATTGTAAGGTCTGACACTAAAGTTACAGCTGACGTCATAGCTGCAGCCAAAAATTTGAAAGTAATTGGCAGGGCTGGCGCTGGAGTCGACACCATCGATGTAGCTGCAGCTACAGAAAAAAATGTCCTGGTACTCAAGTAAGTTACTTATTAGCAATAAGCAATTATCTACTTAAAAAACGTCTACAATAAATCGTATTGAAAATAAAGTTTATAAAACATGTTTTTCTCTTTTAGTACTCCTGGGGGTAACGCTATTAGTGCTTGCGAGCTGACATGCGCACTTATCACAAACATGGCCAGAAATGTGGCGCCAGCTGCAGAATCATTGAAAGCTGGAAGATGGGACAGGAAGTTGTATTCTGGACATGAACTGTACGGAAAAACTTTGGCCATTTTGGGATTGGGGAGGATCGGGAAGGAGGTCGCTATCAGAATGCAATCTTGGGGAATGAAGGTGAGAACAATATTTATACAATAGAAATGGAAACAATAATTTATAAAATACAGTTGTATTTTATGTATTAAACAAATTATTCATTATATTGCAAAATTTCTTGTTTAGTTTTTGAAATAAAGTTCTAAGATATTGCATAATTTTTTATCTTAGATCTGCAAGAATTATGTGTACAAATGAAAATAAATTTCATCAGATTTCTGTTTGTAAAATTTAAAAAAAAAACAAAGATATTATCATAATATTTGTCTGACCTATAACCTAATTAAATTAGGTAGTTAAAAAATATTGTTTGTAAGTAAATAATTTTTTAAATTTAAAATTTATTTTAATATTTACTTTTTTATTTTATTGTGAAATATGTTATAGTCGATAGAACTCCCACAAATAAAAAAAGTTTAGGTATATTAAGTATGTGTTGAAGCTTTGTTTTCGAGACACAGGGTGGTAAAGTTGTTTTAAAAAAATATTAAATTTTTTAATAATTTCACAAACGCCTATTATTGTAAATGTTTCCATGACACTAATTGACCTTTGACGGGCTGAAGTTAGTTGGCAATTGTCAAATGTCATACAATAGTTAAAATAAAGTGCCTTTCTTGTAAAATAATACTAAATGTGAAAAAATGTTATTATCTCAATACAAATACAACAGTGTTAAATAGTTTCTTGACGCCAATATTTTAAAAGATTATATGAACGTCGGTACTGACCTTTTGATTTTGCGGTAGTGCATTTAACTAAATTTAACTGGTTTATTTATTTTCAAGGAATAAATTTTGATTTGCACTGAAAAATTTGAGATTTTAATGCCGGTAGATTCCCAACTTATAAATTCTAACGGGAAATCCAATAAATACAACTGTCACTTTTTGTACCTTTAATATTTCCCGTGTAAGAATTTTTAATACTTTGTGATAATATTTTGCAACTATAGTAATAAAAAAATCAAATTTTAATATTTTAAAGTTTTAATAATTGTTAAGATTAATTAAAATAATAACGGGTAATGTTAATGGTGAAAATTACGTCAAAAATGTTTATTGTGATGGTTACTTTATTTTCGTATAGATGTCGCTTTATACAAAATTTTTAATTTAAATCATTTTTTAGATAGACTTATTTAATTAAGCACTCTCTTTAACACCCTGTATCTTGAAGCATACAAGTTCATATAAACTTCTACTTCTATAATTGACTATTAAATTTTCCAGAATAAAATCTGAGAAACCCTGTATAATAAATAGGCAAATGTATAGATATATGCATAATATGCATTGTTAACATAATAAAATAATATACATAACATAAATTATTTTTTCAGACCATTGGTTTTGATCCAATCATAAGTGTGGAAGCAGCAAAAGAATTTAACGTTGAATCTCTACCTTTGGAAAAAATTTGGCCTCAAGCTGATTACATAACAGTACACACACCTTTAATCCCTCAAACTAGAAGTAAGTACCCATAATAAACAGAGTGTACCGAAAATTGTCAAGTTGTCAAGTATTTTAAACTCAAATGTCTAATAACAAAAACCACTTTCTGGACACTGTATAAATATTTTTGTATATATACCACATCACGATACACAAAAAACGGTATGCTGATGAGCATGTTATAGCTATCTCTTTCTCACCGTGTGACGTCATGTGCGAACCAAAAGTTGGCGGGTAACTGGGTTGGAATGTTATTTGCACTGCAAATTCACGTCATATTCGAAAATATATAAATATAGGGACGGCCTGGGCAGGCAGGCTAAAAATGAGTTTTAAAAGTAAAAAAGCAAACACTAATAACTTTAGTCCACAGCAATTTGTATCCCGGACAGTTAACAGCTTATTATTATGTAAAATTATGAAATTAAAGCAGTTTTTGAGATATAGTCAATTCCATATTATATGGATAATTTACTAAATCTCAAAAACGTGCTACTTTTATAACTTTTGACGACATTTTCGGATTCAGCAGACAATTTTACATAGGAGTTGACTATTTCTATTGACGATAATTATTAGTCGCTGCTCTTTCGCTATGGCATTTAGACTAATTGAATTAGTTATTTTTGACTAATTCTATTTTAGAGAGTAAGCTCGTTACAAAGTCATGTACTGTGTAGACTACTGTTAAACTTTGCTACCTTTAACGGCAACTATCAAACAAATACTAAAAATATTATGACCATTTGTCTCCTTTTATTTTAATCCTCATATAAAAAAAATAAGCCGCCAATATCAAAGCGGCAAAAAGCGCTTTATACACGGAAAAAAATCTATACTGATTCCAAGAAAATTCAACTCTATCCAAGTATAGCTTAGTTTCCCTATTCCGCAAGTAAATTTATACTTGTTTCAAGTATCCTCATATTCTTATAAAATAAAGATAGCTTCGGTTTAAACTAAGATTACTGCTATACTAAAAATAAGAAACACACTAATATTGAGTTAAGTATACAAATTTGTCTTCAATGAAGACTACGGTATTCTTGTTGTAACGTTAGTATGTACTTCATCAAAGTATAGTTTCTTTGTAAAATCTTTACAGTATTCTTGTTTTAAGAATATACTTTTTTTTAAATTTATTTATTTATACTTATTGTAAGTACACGCTTTACTTGCATAAAATGCTTGTATTCTTACTTTTCCTTTTTTTATATTTGATAAAAGTGTAGTATACATTAAACTTTACACTATTCTTAAAGAAAGTGGTTGATTGGAAAAAAAATTCCCTCGTCTATCGACTCGGAATAATTTTTACAAAAAAAAACATTCGTGACCCTGAAAAATATTTGTATTAATTATCCTACCACTACGCAAAATACAAGGGTTTATTACCTAACAGTCTTAGAGGTATTAGAATAAGTACTGTCAATTTATATAAATTCATTCTTTCACGGTTAATTAGCATATATGTATCTATAGATACTACTAGCATATACAGTGCTTGCAAATCCAAGTCCGACCACACAGGAAAGGACGGCTGTTCAATACCCGCGTGAAAAGAACAAGGATAGAACGCCAAATAGAATTTGATTGGCCAGCCGGCAGGCTACGACAACGCATACCCATCGCGCACCTCGCAGCGTGCTTGACACGAGGATATTAGAACGAGAACTGCAGTGGTGCCAGCAAGAGCCTCTTGCCAAGAGGTAGTAATTTTAGTAAAAAAGATTATTTAATTAAAAAATGTAGGTACACGTTGGAACAAAAAGTTCAGATTTTAATCTGGCATTTTGCTGGTAATTCTGAACGAGAAATTCAAAGATTATTTGCGGGAATGTTCGAGGCCAGACCAAACAGAGAAACAATTCGACGAATCGTTAATAATTGCTTGTTCGAACATTTAATTTAATTTTTCAGTTTATTTATTTTTAGAGTTTTATTAGACCAGGGTCGATAATTTTTGAAACCAAAAAAAATAAAAGTAGGATGAAACCCATTGGAAAAGGAGAAGAATATAATAAAATTAAAAGGAAAAATAAATTACGGGCGATCTGACTTTGGGAAGTGAGAGGGGGGGTTTTAAGGGTAAAAAATGGTTTATCTCGATTTCCGGTAAAACTACAAGTCCTATGGAAAAAAGTTAAATGGCAAAGTTGTAGGTAATAAAAGGATCTACAACTTTTGTAATTACAATTTTTTTACATAACCTCCAAATTTATGGGAAAAATTCAAAAAACCAAGTTTTTGGTTTTTTATTTTTATCTTTAAAAAAAAAAAATTTTTTCCACGAAATTTGGTGAAAACTTACCTTTTTATGTCCCAAATACACTGTAATTTATTTGATTTGAAATATTTATTATTTCGCCTTATTTTGACTTAATATCAAAAAAGCACCCTAATTTTCAATCGAAAATTCTCGCGTCAAAATATCAGCTTTTTTCAAAAAGTCGGTGTGCTTTTTGTTTGTTGAAATCTCTACTTTCTGATGGTGTAAAAAAATATACATTACTATGGTAAATGTTCTCAGAAAATGCAAAAAATATTATAATGAATAACGAAAAAAACTCGAATTCGAAAATTTATTTTAATCATTATGTACAATTTCATCAAAAAAATGTGATTGTTGCAATTTTTTTTAGTTAAAAAGTTTATTTATTAAATTCTAATAACATTTATGTCAGACTATTTCCCTCGTCTTAATTTCCACCAATCACAAACATGCAATTTTGAATTACAAATGGTTTCTAGGTGAAAAAACTGTGTGACAGCACCTGTCAGCAGTTTATTCGAGTTTACCCGCGGCAAAACTTGACAGCTGCTGTCACCAAAAATTGCAATTTATATTTTAATTGTTAACTGTTACTCATGAAATAGTCTTGTCAAATACCATTCGGGCAACTAATTTTTCCTGTGAAAAAAATCGAAAAAACACAATGCTAAGTAATATTTTTTAACAAAATGCATTCGTGCAGGTGCAAAAATCCTCCTCTTCGACTCGGATTTTTGTTGCCACCAGCACTCATGCTTTTTGTTAAAATATTACTTAGCAACGTTTCGATTCTTTTCGGAAAAATTAAATGCCCTTATGATATTACTTACGAAAATCTCATAAAATATAAAAATACATGTAAATCATACTATTGAATTTAGATACTTCATTCTGATTACGTTATTCATTATAATATTTTTTGTATTTTCTGAGAACATTTACCATAGTAATGTATATTTTTTTACACCATCAGAAAGTAGAGAGTTCATCGAACAAAAAGCACAACGACTTTTTGAAAAAAGCTGATATTTTCACGCGAGAATTTTCGATTGAAAATAAGGGTGCTTTTTTGATATTAAGTCAAAATAAGGCGAAATAATAAATATTTCAAATCAAATAAATTACAGTGTATTTGGGACATAAAAAGGTAAGTTTTCACCAAATTTCATGGAAAAAATTTTTTTTTTGAAAAAGATAAAAATAAAAAACCAAAAACTTGGTTTTTTGATTTTTTCACATAAATTTTGAGGTTATGTGAAAAAATTGTAAATACAGAAGTTGTAGATCTTTTTATTACCTACAACTTTGACATTTAACTTTTTTCCATAGGACTTGTAGTTTTGCCGGAAATCGAGATAAACCATTTTTTACCCTTAAAACCCCCCCCCCCTCTCACTTCCCGAACTCAGATCGCCCGTAATTTATTTTTCCTTTAATTTTTATTATATTCCCCTCCTTTTCCAATGGGTTTCATCCTACTGTTATTTTTTTTCTCTTTTTACCATTTTTAAAGGCTTCTGCACTGGTCTATATTTTTATTTAGAGTTTTATTTTTATTTTTAGTTATTTTTATTTGAGAAATCTTTTTTATTAAGAATACTATTTTTGTTGTTGCCCTAGTTCTCAAGGAAAAAAATCAAAACATTTTATTTTTAGGATTCGGGTATAAAATATTTAAAAAGAAAATTAAAATGTGCATCTCCACTCCAACGCAGTTTGCTTAACACTAAATCATTTAGTCTAAATGCAGCCAGAGTTGACCTCGCTTACAATTCGCACGCATCCGGGGCTCTGGCCAATCAAATTCTATTTGGCGTTCTATCCTTGTTCTTTTCACGCGGGTATTGAACAGCCGTCCTTTCCAGTGCGGTCGGACTTGCATTTGCAAGCACTGTATGTATCTATAGATACTATATTTTACATTTTATTTTTTAAAGTACCTTGTTATCACATTTTTGGTGCTATATGTAAAAGTAAGGTTTTTAATCACAATACTTAGTTATTATTTTTTTAAGTAGGTATTTTTATTGTCAGTAAAATTTATCTCCAGCTAAATAATTTGTAAAATGAGTCTCTAAGAAGGCTACCATTATCATCGTAGATGGTTTGGTGTTAATTCTTCATTTTTTTCTCTAACCTTGATCCTCAATCCTATTTTTGGAAGTAATTCCTTTAAATTCTCCTCGCTTAGGTTTACCGTAATATCGAGATCTATCTCGTTTTCTAAAACAAAAATAATATAGCTGAATTGAATTTATGTGCTATAGCACATTATTGTCTATTATATTGTCTATTACCTGTCGTATGCTATCCATTTTACACTACAGTATACCTATCCATTTTACACTACATTTTTACGATCATGCCTAGTTAATTACTTTAAATTAATGAAATATTATTTACTTACCCAAAAATGTGTCTAGTAAACATTCTGCCCCAATTTTTAAGTTTCTTCTCCATTATTTTTTATTACAAATAACATCCAGACCGAAAAAGGTAAAAACGAACACACGCTACCACAATAGAACACAGGACAGAACTGAACACAGAAACTCCGTCTTTTCTTTTAGCGAAGCGGTCTTAGATGGTGGACGGTATTTACTTAAGCGAAGAATTAGTTATTTGTTTTAATAATAGCTATACTTAAATACAATATATTGTATTCTTTGTTCTAGAGGTCTTATACTTAAATTGAAGTATAAGCGTTCTTGTATTAAATATACATATATTTAAATAAAGTATACCGAAATTTCATACAAATATACAGAATACTTAAAATAAGTGGCAATATTTCGCTTTGAGTAAAAAACTAGAGCTCTTTCATCTAAGAATTATTGTATATTTGATTTAAGTATACCAATTTTCTTTAAAATAAAATACCTTTAAACTCAATCCAAGAATACTCATCTCAAATCAAGTAACAGTTTTTCTTAAAAATTAAGTATATACCATTACTTAGTTTAAATGTACGCTAATCTCATAGAAATAATAAATATACTTAAATCAAGTTCCTAACATGAAGTATAGAACTATTCTTAAACCTAGTAAGGGATTTTTTTCCGTGTAGCGCAAAAAAAGGGCGGTAACCTTTATCCTATGTATGTTTAAGTATTATATGCAAGAAAGTTTATCGTTACAAAGTACTGATTGACTATATGATTTTGCGCCCCCAAAATGTTGCGCCTGCGTGCATGCACGCACTGCACGCTCGCCAGGAACGGGCCTGGGCCTGGGTGCAATTATTAAGGGTAACAAATGTTAAGAGGAAGTTAAATTGGCAGCAAGCGCTTTTAATACTAATGTAACATATTTTAAACAACAATTAATTTCCTACCTTTCTATTATTATTTTTCAAAATATTTTTTATTTAATTGAATTAACTTAACTTACGCTAGACCGAATTTTACATTTTTTTAATGTGAAAGGTAACAAAATTATAAAAATGCATTTATACAGGTATAGTGGTATTAATATCTCATGGCGGGTGACCTTGGGCGCGCAAACGTCACAAATCCGTCAAATCGCGCTATTACTCGCCGTCCTAAAAACATACTACCCCAGGGTTGGCAATGCTAGCATCAGCTGATATTTATTGACATATTTATACATATTTATAGGCTAGAAATTCTATTATTATATTTGTTATACGAAATGAATAACGGCAAAAAAGAAGTCATTCACATCCAAGGGCGGCAGATCGTCTACAACGTTCTCCAATATTTGAAACGCGAGTTGAAACGTGTCCAATTCTCTTGAAAGAAAGAATAAAAAAAAATTATAGAAGAAAAATGTTGCATATTTTTAAAAAATGTAAGCCTTTTGTCTGAAATAAAGCACATTTAGAAGTTTTAGAACTTATTCATAATATGATATATACTTGTATTAGCAGTAAATCAACATATTTTGCCATACACAAGAAAAATATGAAATAAAAACCTTAAGGTACATTTTTACAGCAAAATTCGGATTGTATACAGATTCTATTCTTTTTTTTTACTGAAATCCATTATATATTTTACAGATCATTGCTCAACATTTGAAGACCTTGCTGCAAAAAGGGGGTAACTTTTACAAAAGTTACTTTTACACCCTTACAACTGTGACTATTCTGCATTGTTTAATGCAAATATGACTCAAAAATAACTTTTATGGAGTTAGCTCCTTTTTGCAGCAGGGTCTTTAATTGCAGTCATTATCTAATGTTACAATATATTTCATAAAATAAAGAAAAAAACGCTTTACTATATTAGTTGACAGATGACAGATTTGGGAAGCATCCATAGACATTTAAGTTAACTTAAAGGTCTATGGAAGTGGCGGATGTTTTTAGTTTCCATTTATTTATTAAATTGAATGGCGTCTGTCAGCGTCTCTCAAGGTCACCCGCCATGAGATATTAATACCACTATAATAATAACGCACGACCGCTTAAAAGTATCAAAAGTGAAAAAAAACTCACTTTTTGACTTGTGACACTTTTGACGCGGGTTTCCGATACAATTGTGTTTTAATTTTTATTTTTAGTAAGAACTTATGCAAGCTGTAAAAAAATATGAGGTAACAAAAAATTGGGTATACAAAAATTTGCCTTTACTTACCGTTTTTTATTTTCATTTTATCCTTTCCCTTACATGCATTCATCCACTGTGCTGCCAGATTCTAATTTTTTTGAAATCGAAAATATTTAATGTTAGGTTAGAGTCGTTTTTTCGCGTAAATACCATGAAATACTATGGTCATTAAACTTAACCTTGGTTAATAGTTAAGGCATTTTTGCGTTTAGAGTGCGTTCAAAAATCCTAACTATGACGTCACAAATACCAGACCATAAAACTATATCGCTTAGCTAGTTATTCAACGTGGTTAATAGTCTTTCTCTTTTTAATATATATATATTTAATATGTTTATGTAGGAATAATGTTGTGTGCTAAACATATCTTCTCCAAAACATACCGCCAACCTTCGTCTTTTTCTTTGGGGTTCCATTCTAAATTTTGAGTTTCACAATAATAATTTTCATATAAACGTTAAACACTGTTGGATTTTAATTATGGTAAACAACAGTGAAGAACTGTTTATATATAAAAAGAGGTATAGAAAAGGTAGGTATAAGAACTAGGGTTCATAGAAAAAGAATATACAAGGTAAAAGAAGAGGCAAAGAAATTTATTTACACCTGTAAAAGCATAGAAATTAAATATAAATAGGTAAAAACACATTTTAAAAATTATAGGTTATGAACAAGTAAACAAATGTCAAATGTTAGAAACCTAACCATGGTTATATGAATTAACTGTGACGTCATGACTTATTTAACCGTAGTATTTCATAGTATTTACGCGAAAAAAACGACTTAGGTTGGGTAGTGGAGTTTCCGTTCATATTTCTGCTGCTGCTACAGCACAGCCGGCATATTTTAAATAGTTATTAAGTCCAACAAATATAACACAAACTCGTAAATAGTTATTGCTGTTCAATAAATGCAGTAAAAACTTTACGCTAAACGTTGCAAAACCATCGTGCGTGGCTTATACTTAAAAAACACAATAATTTCGAAAAAAAACTCAAAAGAAATCTCTGTAAAACACCCGTGCATAGGGTATGCCAATGCAAAACTGTTTGTAACATTTGAATCTGGTTCGCACGTGACGTCACATGCGCGGAGTCGACGAGTTTTCATTTCATATCCAGCATACCGGGTTTTTGTGTACAGTGCTTGTACACCACATTAACTAATCGCATTTCCAGATTTAATAAACGCAAAAGTATTAGCCTCGTGCAAAAAAGGCGTGCGCATCGTCAACGTTGCCAGAGGCGGCATTATCAACGAGGCCGACTTGCTGGAAGCCCTCAAGTCCGGTCAATGCGGCGGCGCCGCATTGGACGTGTTCGAGCAGGAACCGCCCACCGCGGCGGTGACCTTGGAAATCATCAAGCACCCCAAGGTGGTGGCAACGCCGCATCTGGGCGCTAGCACCACCGAGGCGCAAATCAGAGTCGCCGTCGAGATTTCCGAGCAGTTTATTGCGTTGACTGGAAAGAGCAAGGAGTTCACCTCAACGCCCGGAGTTGTTAATATGGATGTTATGAAAAATTTGAAGAAGTAAATTAGGCTGTTTTGTCACAAATAAATTTTATTATTTTCTGTATATTATTGTTTTATTGTAAAAACTATGGGGCGCCATTTTATTTTTTATTCAAGAATTATTTTTTTTGTGTGTTAATTGGATAATAAGAATTTTTAATCTGCAATTTAAAAATATTATAGTAGATATTTAAAAATTTAATTTAATTTTTATGCCAAGCTAATATTTTTAATTTAGTAAATTTAAAATATCCGTTGTTTGCATTTTTTTCGCTAAATTAAAAATATCATAGGAAACATTTTTAAATTTTATTTTTTTTAAATAAGCAGATATTGAGTGTGATATTTTTAATTTAGATTGAAAGTTTGGACACCCATGGTTGGAATTAAAAATCACATTAAAATAAAAATATCTGCTTATTTACTAAAATAAAAATTAAATCAAACTAAAAATTTCTCCCATGAAATTTTTAATTCATTTAAAAATTTCTCCTATGATATTTTTTAATTAGGGAATTAAAAATATGTGTTTAACTAAAAAATACAAATAGGTACAGGGTGATCCCCTATAATGTCGCCCCCTTTAAGTTTTTTATTTTAAGTGTCCCAAAAAATTTAAAAGTGTGGTTATGTAGGTACTAAAAAATACTTTTTTTCTATGTATAAAGAAAAATGGAAAATTGATTAATATACAGGGAAAACCAAAAAGTTTATTTTTTTAATGGATCCCCCTATATATGAATTTATTTTTCGATTCCTTGTAAAATTCTGAGCATAATTCATATAACAAACCATATACCTAAACTCAACCGTTTCTGAAATATTCGCATTCGAAATGTTATCATTAAATGTTTTTTTAAACTGTTAGAAATCAAGAAGCCTCAGTATACCAAAATTTTTATTTAAAATAAATTACTATACCTATATTGATATAATGTAACTATAGTTACATTATGTCAATATGTCTTGTTAAATAAGTAAAAATGGCGTACTCAGACAGAGAAAAAACGAATTTCAAATTATTATCTTAAAAATAATTTAAATATTTCAGAAACGGTTGAATTTAGGTATACGGTATTATATGAAATATGCTTAGAATTTTACAAGGAATCGAAAAATAAATACATATATAGGGTGATCCATTGAAAAAAAATAAACTTTTTGTTTTTCCCTGTATACTGATCAATTTTCCAATTTTCTTTATACGTAGAAAAAAAGTATTTTTTAGTACCTACATAACCAAACATTTAAATTTTTTGGGAGACTTAAAATAAAAAAGTTAAAGGGGGGCGACATTATAGGGGATCACCCTGTACAAGAAGCAGATATTTTAAATTCACTAAATTAAAAATATCTGGTTGTCATAAAAATAAAATGTAATTTTTAATTAAGCGAATTAAAAATATTTGTTTAACAAAAAACAATTTAAAGAAGTAAATATTTTAAATTAAATATATTAAAAATATCAGTTTGGCATAAAAATTAGATGTAATTTTTAAAATATAAACTCCTGGACAAAATTAATGCAACATCATAAATTTGCCACATTTTTTAAGCTATTTTTTATTAATTTATGATCCGATTTTAATGATTTTTTTTTGCATTGTAGGTTAAACCTAGTAGGTTGGTTTCTTGACAATGTCATAATTCCCGCTGCTTATCATAAAAAGTTAATTTTCGATTTATACCGGCTGTAATAAAAATGTAATGTTTTTTTCGATAATTCGTATCACCCTGAGGAGTATACTAGCAACCTGCAACATTATCTTTTTTGGTTTAATTCATTATCTCTGTTACTAAGTGTATTTATTATTTAAAACATTCATTGTTAAATGTTTTTAAGTAGGCTATGGACCTTTTCTGACATTATGATAAACATCCTACTTATTTTTAATTTAGCGAATTAAAAATATAAGTTTAACTAAAAAATCCAAATACAAGAAGCACCCATTTTTAATACAGTAAATTAAAAATATCTGTATGGCATAAAAATTAAATATAATTTTTAATTAACCTAATTAAAAATATGTGTTTAACAAAAAAAAACAATTAAGAGAAGTAAATATTTTAAATTAAATACATCAAAAATATCAGGTTGGCATAACACAAATTTTTAATTCGCTTAATTAAAAATGAGATTTTATTTTTATGATAACCAGATATTTTTAATTTAGTGAATTTAAAATATTTGCTTCTTGTACCTATTTGTATTTTTTAATTAAACACATATTTTTAATTCGCTAATTTAAAAATCAATTTTAAATACCTATGTTTCTTATAATTGTATTTTTTGTTAAATAAATATTCAATAAATTAAAAATTAGGTTTAATTTTTATGTCAAACTAATATTTTTAATTTAATGAATTTAAAATATTGGCTTCTCATAGGAGAAATTTTTAAATGCATTAAAAATATCATAGGAGATATTTTTAATTTGATATAATTTTTATTTTATTAAATAAGCAGCATAAATAATTCCTTAATAAAATATAAAATACCAATAATCAAAATCATTGAAAGCACCAGTATTTTTATATTTTAAATCAAAATATTGTGATGTTAAACTATAAAATCAACTAAGTAAACTTTTATTTTATTTTGACAAATCAGACAAACCCATAAAAAACGCCTCTACATTAATGTATGTACAAATAAATTTTATTATTTTTTAAACTTATTTCATATAAAACACTGTGTGGGTACCTTAAAGTATTCCATGGGCAGCTTTAATACCACTTTCCAATTGTTCTTTTTGTTTCTGCAACTCTTCATAAGCTTGCACTGCCAACTCCAAAGCCCCTCTTTTAGTAGAATCCTTCTCTATAAACTGCCTTACTGCCTTCAATTTACCATCAAATTCATAGTTTAACTTATGAATTTTACCATATAATTCCATCAATTTATTGGCTTCATCTACATGGGAAGATTCAATTAAATCCAGAAGCAAGTTGTCTATGCTTTTATTCCACACCAAAAAGAATACTAGTCCCCCAAAATGCCTTGTCGATCTTAGTAAATCAAACCCATCATTATCACTCAAGTGTTGGAACACTATAGATGTGACCCTCTGATAATCCTTCTCGTTGGGTTCAAACTGACTGCAAGCCAAATCCAAAACAAACTCATACTCCCGCCTATTCAACAAATCCTCCAAGTACCCATCTTCAAAAACCCTCGGGGGTTTTAGACTCCTCCCACTTCGTGGAAAGTACACATGATTAACCCTATTTCTTAATTCCCATTCCGCATCCTTTAAAGTGCCATCAAGCTCCCTTACCACTATTAACCTGTCCAAATCCTTGACCCCAAAAGTTATATCGGTAAACACAAACCGTGAACTCTCCAAACCTTGTAATGCTGGATCCTGAGAGTAAACCTTATTTTTTTGTGCATGTACAGCCAACACTGGAGGAATTTGCAGTAATTCTTCAGCCTTCTGTTGTGCTTTCTTTAACTTCACATCTAATTGCTCCTGTGTCATGAATTTAAACTCTGGATCACCCAAACGTTTTTCACCCAGCTTCCTTTTTTTAAATACTTTGGCTACTTCAACCCGTGTGAGAGATTTAAGCAGTGATTGAACTTCTTTATTAAAAAATAGCGGTGCTGGGTCCGTTTTAGTGTCTAAAATATAAGAAAATCCAGAACAACATATCTCACATAACCTCACATTCGCAAACTTACCGTATTCCTTTGGGGTGTAATTTAATAGACGAACACAAGCCACACATGTGTTGTTTATTTTGTACCTTGTGTCGGTTTTAATGTTGTTTATTAATAATTTCTGTGAAATATGCCGTAATAAAGTCATTTTTAGGGTTTTGACGTGATTTTTGAATAGATAGAAATATTGCAAAATTGGAACTACTTTAATTAATTTAAATATTAAGTAGAATGACTTGGTAAAGTTTTTTGTATTATTTCTGTTAATATTATAGTTTTATTGTTTTTCTTTACATTGTAATTATTTTATTTTATGTTTTAATTTATTACTGTACTATTGTTTTGATGAAATTAGATGTAGATCCAAAACAAAATTCGTTTAAACTACGCTGGGTTGCCAAGTGTAAATTTACATTTTTTAAATTTTTAAAATATTAAAACATTCACTTAAAATTCTATATAAAGACTTTTAATTATTAAATGGTCTTATATTTGCAAGACTATTATGTTTTATAATTGTTATGTATTTAATTTTAAATTTCATAAAAAATACAATCGGCAACATGGCTTGATTTTGACAGTTTTGTGAATAAACAGTCGCTTGATTAAAAAATTGGTCAAAAAGTGCTTCAAATGCAACAAAAGTCAACATTTAAGTAAAAATGTCCTTATATGACGATTTGGACGTGAAAACCCGTGGCTCAGAAAATGTACAGGGCTGGTCATCAGGTATAAAATTGCTTCAATCGCAACTACAATTAAAAAAAGCTACAGTAACTCAACCGAAAAGGGATGCTGCAAGAAAAGCGAGCTTGGCGCCTGTAATAGACTTGAAAGCAAAACAGCGAGATGAAGAGGAACTATTTTCGCCCGCATTTCCCCAAATAGTAAAACCGAGTAAGGTGGAACCAGTTTGGCCAATAATAAGTCAAACTCAAACAGTCACGCATGTTTCTCACCCTGCCAGTACGTATGGTAGCGAGTATGACTGGAATGTCGTCGATGAGTATGATCCTCTGTGGCCCAATGAGTATGAGAAGGTTGTTAAGGATATGAGGGATAAGAGGGATAAGGATAGGGATAAGAGGGATAAGGATAGGGATCGGGATAGAGATAGAGATACTGAAAAAGAAGAGAAGAGGAAGGAAAAGAAGAGAAAGTCGCGGTTTAATGATCCTGCTGAGGAAACTTCACCACCACCTACTGTTCAAATGACACAACCTGCTATTGGTAGTGGTTTTGCTGGTAAGAAAGTCATATTCTTTATTTTTGGTTTATAAAACTGAAAACTGTCAACTTACTTTTAAGTGTGCACAGATTAGTTTGACAAAAAATACATATGGTGCATTCCACACCAAATCAAGTTTATTTAAAAATAAAATAATAATATTAATATTTTACTTTTAAATCGGATAAGAAATATTAAGTTAAATATTAATATTTTAAAAATAAGTTGCACTGGAAAATAATACATTAATAAGAATTATACTTGTCAAAGAAATTATTTTTTTTTAAATATGTTTATTTTACCTATGTAAGATGTTGAATTATTTCTTTAATGAAATTTTTTTGTGTGAAATATTTTTGTGACATTAATATTTAACCTATTATTCATAGATAACAAAGCCTTTATTATTATTTATTATTTATTATTAGCTATTATTTCTTATACAATTAAAATGTAAAACTTCGTGCCATAATTAATTTAATGGGTACCTATAATTTTAATTCTTATAAAAAATGATACAATTAATTTTCTGAATTTTTATTTTCTTGTTAAAATTATGACTATATAGATAATTATATAGATAATCTAGCTCAAAATTCACTGTGGATTGTAATCATAAAATTAATTATATAATTTTATGTGTACAGATAAAATTAATTATATAATTTTTATTATGTAAAGTCATAATTTTAATTTAATTGTAAAATAAAAATGATTTTCGTACACGTGTTATAAATAAGAAATTGTAACTTAAAAAATAATAGAATAAACGGCAATTTCAAGCATACGAACGGGACAAATCACAAAAGTGTTTAAAAAAAAAAGAATTGGGTAATTTATTATATAATATTTTGGCAATAAAATTGTCAAATATATTCTTCCTTAATTAGGCTATACCTTAATTAAAAAGAAAATGCAAGAAATATTTTATAAAAGTAGAGATAATTTTAATAATGGGACAAGATAAATCTTTTTTTGTCCCATCCACCTAAAATTATCTCTACTTTTATAAAAATGTTCTTTTGTTTTTTTAATTTAATGTATAACCTAATAAAAGAAGAATATTTTTAACAATTTTGATTTGATTTTGAAATATTGAGTATGAGTATGAGTATGGGAACGTATGGCAGGCCCCAAATACATTATCCTCCACTAATCTCCCAGGGTTATTTTACCCCCTTTCCGTTCTCCTGCGTATCCCGCCAAATCACAGCATTACCTGTGTTTGTTGGATCCGAAGTTTTTACACCAGCTGGTAGATCCACCCTAGGAGGTCGTGGATGACAGTGTCTATGGTTAAGGCCGCTACACGGATTTTTGTCAGCCGGGTCGGGCCATACGTCCTGTTTAGGAAGGGTTTTTGGAGGACATTGAACTGACCCAAAACTAGGTACAATCCGGAAATCTCCTCAACCAGGGCTTTAGTAATAACCCCATTCAGTTGGGATTCCTGAATGGGGGTAGGTGGATTAGTATGCTGCTAGAGCCTTTCCTTGATGGTGTACTTCCTGTTTGTCGCTGTCCGAGTCGGATTTCGGTTCCTGATAGCCGCTTTAGAATTGTTTGCCCCCCTGTGCGATATTGAGTCTTATCTTCAAAACCGAAGTGTTGCCGGCCGCACCCCGCCATAATTAGTGCCCTCTGACTATGTGAAAATTCGTCCCTTCATGCCGTGATCGATTTCATAAGCAGCTGTTTTTCCCGCCTTTGTTTAACCTGCTGAAATTGTCAATACCCTCTAATTATTTTTTTTCCCGTGCGTGATCCCCATTCACTTGGGGTTGGGTTCATCTTTGTGCCCCACTGTGCGGTGCGGCTATTTATTTACGCTTGGAACGGTTTTTACCTAATTTATGGTCCCCTTAACGTCTTAGTAATCTATAGATGTTTATTTCTTTAAGATGGTTTCTTTTGCGTAATGTTTATCGTAACTTGAGTGATTAATGGCTTCTTATGTGCCCTTGTGTTTATAGTTTTTTTTACTATGTTTCATTTTTGCATGAGAATCTTGGAAATTGTTTGCGACTAATTAATTTTACCTGAATAATTATTTTTAGTTAAAGGTTGCGTATTTCATATTAACTAGTATTAATATTATTGGGTATTATATGGTCATGCAATTTTGGTAGCTACTTATCTAATTTATGCAGACTTGGACTTCGGGATAATTGCCAGGCAGGTGTGCTGAAATTGATCCTTATCGCATGCCGCCTGCACGTGTGTTAGCCCAGGAAATTTTCATTGGAACTGATCGTCTCTCTTACACCTTTTAACCAGGTAAAACACTTGAGGACTTAATCCAGGAGGAGGTAACACACACAATTTGCACTCTTTTGCACTTGGGACAGTTATCACGTGTAGTATCGATATTGATTTTTTTGTTATTTTACGGCGTTAACCGGGGTCGTCCCGCACTTTTCGCACTTGTTTGTTTATTTATTTATTTATTACCGATTACCGATATTTCCGGATACTATTCGTTTTTAGTACTTTACTACGTTTGTATCGTATACGCTGCTTAGGAGGGATCTCGTTAACTATCGTAGAGCGTCCTACCACTTCAAGAGTCAAGACCCAAACGGCGTGCAATTTTGATGTCAAAATATTATATAATAAATTATCTACAATTTTCGTTATAAAAACAGTTTTGTAATTCGTGCGTTTCGCACGCTTGAAATGGCCGTAAAATAAAATAGTTTAAGTATCTTGTTTAAAAAAAATTGTTCAATAATGTTTTTCAAAGTAAAAAAATAAAGAACCTCATACGAAATAAAAATGGACCAAATTTATATTACGCAAATATTAATTCAGCTAACAAAAAAAATATGTAAAATGTTTAAAATTTACTGTTTTTCCTGTTTCCCTTAAATTTGAATTCAATTTATAGTTTAATAATGGGACAAGATAAATGCTTGACATAATTTTATTTAATTATTATTATTTCAGACATAATTAAAGTTATAAAAAATTATATATTCCATAATTTAAAAAAACCTACTTTAATTTACTTTTACATTTAAAATATTTACGATTAAAAAGCCATAAATATGAATATAATACTCCACCCCCTAAAATATTTCTGTTATTTTTTACCCAAACAAAAAAAGTTATTTTTTTTTAATTAGTTTTTTAAGTGCTTATAACTTTTTAAACACAACATTTGTTTATTATTTTTAATAATATTTTTAAAACAATAAATGTTGTTGTTTTTGTTGAATGTATTTTTTGTGTTGCTGTTTTGAGCTGAACTTTTTGCATTTTTATATTTAAATTTATTTTATTATCCAAAAATGGATCGTAAAAAAAATTCAAGCTTCCCATGTTAAAATTACAGGGAGTGAATTGTGCAAAAAGGCATAAATAGGAATGTTTTATTTTTAAATAAATTATTTTAGGCAGATGGGCTGACGAAGAAGATATGGAACCCATACAAAAACAACCAAGACCGTCAGGTGGCGCTGCTATCGCGCCTCCTCCAAGCTTACAAGAACCCCTTGAACCGGTCCCATTATTCCCAAATAAACCACAACCTTCGACGAGTTACGGTGCGAGCTCGATAGCCGCCAAAATCATGGCCAAATACGGTTTCAAGGAGGGTCAAGGCCTTGGCAAGCAGGAGCAAGGGATGGCGAGCGCCTTGCAGGTGGAGAAAACGTCAAAAAGAGGCGGCAGAATCATACACGAAAAAGAAATGCCATCGTTTCCGCCCTCGACAGACGAGCACCCGCCAGTGCAACACAATCTGACGGAGCTGATGAAAAACCCCAGCAAGGTTGTTTTGCTGAAAAATATGGTGGGTCCAGGCGAAGTTGACGACGATTTGGAACCCGAAGTGAAAGACGAGTGCAACACGAAGTACGGCCCTGTTGCCAATGTTATCATCAACGAAATTCAGCACGAAAATCCCGACGAATGCGTCAGGATTTTCGTGGAGTTTTTGAGGATCGAAAGTGCTATTAAAGCTGTAGTCGACTTGAATGGGCGGTTTTTCGGCGGTAGGATGGTCAACGCTGGGTTTTATGATACTGAGAAGTATGATAATTTAGAGTTAATGGACTAGATGTGTTTTCTATAATAATAAATAAATAATATAAAAAATTGTTATTTATTGCATTAAAATGTTTTTGGCTTACACGTGTGGGACAACTGGTTAAATACCTGGCATTCCAAGTAAATTAACCAAAATCTAAGTAAAATAACTTTTTGGTAAATTACCAAAGGGTGTTATGTAATTAATTTGACATAAGGTGTAAAGAAAAAAAAATTAAAAAAATATATTTTCCCCTAGATAAAAAAAAGTATGAATTTTTTTATATTTTTTGTGATATTTGTGTTCTATGAGTATCTAGTTACCAACCAACAAAGTAGCTGCGCGTTGCCAGTTGTGAAAAATGGTTACTAAAAAAGTAAAAACTCAATAAATACAAAAGTTGTATGCCCTTAAAGCTCTAATGCCCTTCTGTATTTATTTACTCATCCAGCTATTAGCTTACGCAATAATTAGAAATTTTAGTACCTATTTTAAAAACTCCATAACCACAAAATTAATCTTTCTGTCGGTTTTTTTCTTTCTGTTTACTCAGATGAAAATAGGACAAGTTCACAGGTTAAACTTTAAACATTCAATTTGTGTAATATCTAAAAGCACTTGTCTTAGTTAAGATATTTACAATTTGAGCAAATAACCTTAAATTTCAGAGAAATGCACTATACGCAAAGAAGTATCGCTAGTAGCGCCACCACTCGGCTGTTATCATCGTAACAAAAGTGCAACTTTTGATAATCAGCTGTCAAACGAGTTTTTTTGAGAATAAAGCCGGAAAATGTTAAAAATATAGGAAAAAACAGTGGCACGATTTGTTGTGTTGTTGGGTGTATTTCGAGAGGAAATCCTGGGTTGAGTTTTTATCGGTTTTCCAATAAATAATCCGAATGAAGAAATAAATTTCGTACAGTCCCTGTAAATATAAATTGTATTCATTAGATACAATAAATACACATTTTAGTAATAATTAACGTGAAAAGTGTAAACATTTCAACTCAGTAATAATCGTCAAACAAATAAGTCGTCTAAATTTAAACAGCATTTAGCATTATTAAAAGCGTTGACTAAGAATTCTTTCCCCTCAACGGTAAAATACCATTAAATTATTTACTATATATAATAGGGGAGAGGGGGGCACATATGGACACGGGTTACATGTGGACAGTTTAAATTCAGCGCCTTAGAAAGCACGAATAAATTCGCAAAAATTCTTATAGATGTCTCTAAGTATACCTAACTTATATATAAAATTTAAATATTTAACAGTTGATAGTCTTTGTGTTTTGGTTAAAAATACGTATTAGTGGTTAAAAAGTAAATTAATTAGCGATATTTAATACTTTATAGTCAGGTAAGAATTGCATATTATAATAAGTTTGGTAGTCTATGTTTTTAAGCCTTAACTAAGTGTTATTATAACCAAAATATTTTGGTTTTAAAAATCATTGTTAAGTTAAAAACAATGTCTAACCTAAAAACTGTAACCGGGGCACATGTGGACATGTAAATATGGGGTACATGTGGACAGTCCACATGTGCCCCAAAGTCTATGATTTATTTATTTTTTATTACAGAATGGTAAGAACTTACAAGCGCAAAACATTGAGAGCTGATATTGATGAAGCTATTGTGGCACGGGCCCTCACAGAAATTCGTAATGGCAGAATGTCACTTCGTGCCGCTGCAGCGGAATTTGGCTTAAAAAAATCAATGTTACACAAACGTTTAAAAAAACAACGTGACAGAGCGGAAGATTCCGGGGCAGAGTCGGATAATTTAGAACATGGGAAGTCAAAATATGCTAGTAATCAAGTATTTTCAGCACAAGAAGAAAATATGTTGAATAATTATGTTCTTAAAAGTTCATTAATTCACTATGGTTTGACTTTGCGGCAAATGAGAACACTAGCTTACGAGTATGCTCTTAAATTAAACAAGAAATTTCCCAATAAATGGAATCTAGAAAAACAAGCGGGTATTGACTGGATGAAATCATTTTTAAAGAGACATAAAAATATATCTTTAAGAAAACCAGAAAACACCAGCCTGGCTCGTGCAACTTCCTTTAACAAAGCAAATGTTAGTGCTTTTTTTTCAAATTATAAGAGCGTATTAGAAAAATATAAATTTGAACCAAATCGCATAATAAATTTGGACGAAACTGGAATAACTACCGTTCTACCATCTCCAAAGGTACTCACTGAAAAAGGAAAGAAACAAGTAGGTCAGATAGTTTCTTCTGAACGTGGACAGCTTGTAACCTTTACAGGAATTATAACAGCGACCGGAAATGCACTGCCCCCTGCCTATGTGTTTCCCAGAGTCCATGCAAAAGAACATTTTGTGAATGGCGGACCTATTGGAGCTATTGGTTTAGCCCATAAAAGTGGCTGGATGACTGCAGAGTTATTTATGGATGTACTGAAGCATATGGTGCACCATCTATCACCATCGAAGGAAAATCCCATTCTATTACTTATCGATAACCATAAGTCACACATATCTATGCCAGCTTTGTGCTTTTGCAAGGAAAATGGTATTGTGCTTCTTTCATTCCCGCCACATTGTTCTCATAGGCTTCAACCATTGGACGTTGGAGTTTATGGGCCTTTTAAAGCAATCCTAAAATCCACCTTCAACAATCATATGGCCACACATCCTGGTAAGCAAATAACCATTTATGACATTCCACAGTTGTCTAAGCAGCCTTTTTTACTAAGCTTTGTACCAAAGAACATTACAAAAGCTTTTGAAGCTACTGGTTTGTGGCCACTAAATGAACATATATTTACTGAAACAGACTTTCAGAGCTCATACGTATCTGATAGGCCCGTATCAGACACGACAGGTCAAAATGCCTCTAGGCCAGAAAATAATTCTATTTCAAATCAGCTCGATACTGCTACTCCTGGACCCTCTGGAATTGTAACACCTGAAGTTCTTAGACCATACCCTAAAGCTGCTCCAAGGCAAAATAATAATAGAAGAAAAGGCAAATCATGTATATATACTAGTACACCAGAAATGAAATCAATTAAAGAAAGAGAAATAAAAATTCCGAAGGAAATGAAAAAAAATGTGAAAAGGGTAATTTTGGACAGTTCTTCAGATGATGAGCAAATGGACATAGAATATAAGGATTCTTCAGATGATATCTCTTTTTCAGATGAGGGAATTGACGAAAACGATTTTATGGAAATAGAAAATTATATTTTGGATAGTGACGTGATTTCTACCAATGATTATTTGCTTGTTAAATTTGCCACAAAAAAAAGTTTAGTTCATTATGTTGCTCTTGTGATAAAAGTATTTGAAGGTGGTATTGAGTATGAAGTTCAATATCTACGACGCAGGTTACCTGGATGGAGTTTTCTATTTCCAGTTATAAGTGACGTAGCTACAGTTATAAGGGATGATATTGTACTTAAGTTACCCAAACCAGTGAATCAGAAGGGAACAGCAAGAACCTGTGACCACCTAAAATTCAATATAGACCTTACGAAGTATAAAGTAAAGTAAACATGTTTATAATATTATGTCATAGATTATAGGTACTATCATCTATAGATATATCCTTAAACTATTGTATTACAATTCAGGCAGAATTTTGTTTAATTTCTATTATTTTAACAAGTGTCCACATGGACCCTCTCACCTGTCCAAATGCACCCTCTAGTTGGGGACAAGTGGACAAATATATTTTTTTCTTAAAATAAGAATTATACATATTTTGTGTTATTTTAAGCATTCTTTTATTTAATATGGATTACACAATGTCCGCCCGATGTTGCGAGTGTAAACAAAAAATTAAATTAATAAAAAGTAAAAAAGATATAAGCTTTTAAAAAATAGTGTCCACATGTACCCCCCTCTCCCCTATTGTGTTGCCATGAATTCGTAGGTATATTTTGTTGTTTAAAATGCAGTTGTCGGCGTTTTTTAGAGAACTCAAATATAAAAATGGTTGATTTTAAGGTTATGTTTGTGCAAAAATTATTTTGTACTAATTTTTAAAAAATGTCCAAACTTAAATATAAATTATATTAGGTAAAGTTATCATTAAGTTAATTCTGCACCAACAAATTTACTAACCGAATTGAATCCTTAGTTAACAGGTACAACAAAAATTAACTTTTTAACATTACAATTACTGGTAATACAGACATATTAGTAAGACTATACATCATAAAATTTTTGAAAAAATTAAATATCTTAAAAACTGTAAAAAAATAAATAAAATCAAATTTTAATATTCTTAGAATTTTAAGAAGAATAATTATAATAATATAATAATTACAAATGCAATATTTAAATGGTTTCATTTGATAAAAGTAAAGTTGATATTAATTCCAAAATGTTGACTAAAAAGAAGTTAATATTTGGTAGTTTTTGGTTTACCTTAAGGTACATTAACCAAGAAGTAAATCTTATCGGACATAACGTTAATTTTACCATAACTAAATTCCAAACTTTAACCAGTTGTGATACTTGGGGCTTTAAGCCTTGCAGGAAATAAGGTAATTAAAACAATGACTTTTTCTTATAACAATATTTATTAATATTACAAACTGCAATAAGTTAAAGAACCTTATAATTAAATGCGGTAATCAAGCATCAATAAAATAATAAAAAAGGTCGTTTTTTAATTTATTGCAGTAAATTAACAATTTTCAAGCCCCAAATTACAAATCGGACATAAAAAAAATCGGGGTAACAATGTAAAACGGGTTGTATATTTCGCTTAATAAAGATCAATTGCAAAAAAATAATATTTATGGTATTCCTATACCTAATGAAAATATTGAAACCTAAAATAAATAGGACTAGACTTATTTTTCTTTGTTAAGTGCCTGAATAAATTCTTCAAGTTTTTCTTGGATTTGACGCACCCTCTCTGAAAAAAATATGTTTTTAATATGGTTAGTCCTTAAGATCTTATTTTAAAACATGTTTTAATATACAAGGAAGGAATGACCTACACATCATTTGGTTAATTTCCAATGCAGATTTTTCTGAAAATTTTGAACTGAATAATTTTTGATAAAATTCATTTTTGGTCAATTTTCCTTTATTTGTCACTTTTAAAGCGTCGGAAAAAAACTGTAATTTTTGGAAAAAAAATTGATTTTGTTTTTAAATTTTGCTATATTTTTACTTAATAAGGCCGTTCATAACATTTTTAAATCCATTTTTTTTTTCGAAAAGACATTTGTTTTGCTCTTTGCAGCAAAAAATCTGTCTCCCTATTCAAGCTTACATCTACATTTTTTTAAGCCTATAATTACTAGCATTTTAAACTGAAATTTGCAGAAAAATTTGCTTTTGGCTATTTTCCGTAAAAGTAAATTTTTCTAAAAAAATTCTACACCAGGACTTTTTAACCAATCAAAATGAGATTTTTGACAGGTTTTTGAAAACACATGTATTTATGTGGATATTTTTTTGACATAATCACAAACTATTTTTTTTTGACAATATTAGTTTTTATTTCTTCATTTAATTTTGTACCACGTGTAGTAACTCAAGTCTTAAAATGGTATTTCCGTGCAATAAGTAGAAATAAAAACCGATTTTTTCCGCCAGCTCAATTCTTCTGGACATTTTAAAACACTTTTTCCAATGAATGTTATTATCACGGTAGGTAGAATTCTCCGCGAATCTCATTTATTTTTTACTCATAAAAATGGCAAATAGACGAAAAGTTATTTTTATCAATAAATTTTCGGTCCAAAATTTTCAGAAAAATCATAATTGCAAATTTATTATCGACAATACAAATTATATTCATAAAATAATAAAAGTTTAGGGGCATTCCACATTACTCGGTAATTTTTGTCCCGCCCGTCACAATTAAAAACCACAAGTTATAAAATTAATATTTTATAATATTATTTTTATTGTGCTTATAACTTATTAAAAGCATAATAAAACAATATTTTTAAATACATTTTATAACGTGTAGTTTTTACTCACAATTTTTAATTGTGACGGGCGGGACAAAAATCCCCGAGTAACGTGGAATGACCCTTTATCAAAAATTAAATTTTCGTTTAAATGATTTTTAATATAACATTATATTTAAATGTAAATTTAAACCAATAACTTGGCAGAATAAAATAATAAAGTACAATTTTTAAAAATCAATACTTTAAACTTAAACTTTTACATTAAAAATATTTTTTGATTATCAATTGTTTTGAGTTTTAAAAAATTTTACTTTTTAAACTATTTTGGTAGACATTGTTTTATTTTAATTATAAATTATACATATATGTATGTGTTTTTATTTTAAATGTCTTGACACTATTTTTAAATACTAAAAAAATAACCAATTTAATCTGAATAACTTTATAAAATATTTATTAAACATTTACAAAATTCTGCCCAAATAAATTATACTTAGAAAATTAGGAATTTTTAAGTTAGGAAATTTTTAAACCAATAAAATTTTAAATTACAAAATATTTAATAAGTGTTAAAACGGGCGTGCCATCAAGAACTGACCAAAAATGATTTTTATCAAAAAAATTCAGTCCAAAATTTTCAGAAAAATTGCATATTCGTAAATTAATAAAAGTTTATCAAGAATGAAATTTTCTGAGAAATGCAAAATATTTTTTTTAACCCCATATTGTTAAAGTAAAAAAAAACTTACTTAATTCTTCTGCTAACGTTACTCTTCTTCCTGTAAGCAATTGAATTTTTTTATCATTATCTTGGCTATAATCCTCCAAAACTTCCTTGATTTCCTTATCTAACCTCCTAGCTGTAAAAAAACATTAAAACCCTAATATAAAACCGACTATAATCATAATATGGAAACCTCGTCACTGTTTCAAATGTGCTCCGCACCAGGTCTTTCGGACCTCATTAGTGTCGGGTAGCCGTATGGTGCGGAGCACGTCTGAAACGAAGCACTGTGACGAGTTTTTTTTTATATAAATTTTTACTTTTGGCACTATAATCACCTTCTCTGTTGGTAATTTGTTGCCTAAGCGCGTTGGATGTCACCTTCATCATTTGTTGGATTCTGTGGAACAAAACGACGTCGGAACAGTCGACATCGGCCTGCTGATGGTACAGATAGTAGGCTTTCCGGCAGTCGAACGCTTTGCCCAAAGATTGGTTTAGAAAGTGTTTCCTGTAAACGGCGTGCCACACTTCGCGAATAAATTCGTTGTCTACTTCGACGGTGTTGTGCAGCAGGTTGTTTTTTATTGTTGTTAGCTCGTCGAAGCTCAAGTTGGGAGGGTGTTTCTAGCAGAAATTGAGTTTGGTTAAGGATGTAGACTGAACATATTTTTTAAAGTTGTGCTGAGAATAACGCGCGCACAGCTGACGAAAATTCAATACCGAGAAGTTAGCCGTCAAGAAAATCGATATGAGTGAACTTATTTGCGTATGTTCGCTCATTAAGAAATGAGTGGCTGTGCATGAGAAAGAGATGAAAATAATGTAATCCAAAATGGCGGCCGCCGCAAGATGGATTGTCTATTATTTTACAAACTCCTTAACATGGGTATAAAATTATGTTTTATGAGTAGAAAACGATAAGGTGAGTGAAAATTTTTAAAAATTTTCAAGATTACAAATTTGTTTACTAAATTTCAAAAAATATCAAAATTATGATATTAAATTTTTTAATCAAACCTTTATATATTTTTTTAGTAACACCAAAGAAGTTTAACTTCCAAGTAGCGATTTAAAGCGTCGGAAAAATTGTCTTTTTTTAGGAAAATGTGAATTTTTTTGGAAATTTCAAAAATATTCACATTTTAATAAAAGGCACATGTTTTAAGTATCAAATAAAAAAGTTTGACCATTAGAAAACAAAAAGGTGAGAGTAAATTTTCAAAATTTTTCAAAATTACAAATTTCTTTACCAAATTTAAAAAATTATTAAAAATATGATATTAAATTTTTTAATCAAACCTTTATATATTTTTTAGTGACACAAAAGAAATGTTACCAACTACACGGTGCTGTTCTGAGAGGTGATTTTTGGACTTTCTGTGAAACCTAATTTTTTTTATATTCTTGTTAATTAGGTCATAACTAAAATTTTAAGAGCAAAATAAAAAAAATTTGACGGTTAATTTTGTTTTAATTGGATGTTTATTAAAAATATGTATGCACACTTTCAATTCTCCAATTAAAACTTGCGATTCTGAGAGAACAAAAATTATAGAACACGTATTCTGAAAATGACAATTCAAACGTCAAATAAATTTTTAATAGATCTAAGTTTCATGGCAACCTTTAAGGATATATTAATTAAGGGAACATAAATGTATATGTCAAAGGTTAGATTAAAAGTTTGAAGGTTTATTGCAACAAAACAGTAAAATATATAAAAAAAATTGTAAAAACCTTTTTTTTAGTTATGCAAATATTAAATATTTAAATTAAATCGCTAGTTTTAATTGGATAATTTTTTTTTTAATAAATAGCCAATTAAAACAATTCAAACCGTCAGTTTTTTTTTATTTTGCTCTTAAATTCTTAGTTATGACCTAATTAACAAGAATATAAAAAAAAATTAGGTTTCACAGAAACTCCAAAAATCACCTCTCAGAACAGCACCGTGACTAGCGTTTTAAAACGTCAAAAAAACGGAAAAATTGGGGGAAAAATTGTTTTTTTTTTGGATAATGTTTTATTATGTTAATTTAAAAAATACACACATTTTAATAAAAGATAATTTTTTATGTTATTCATAAATAAACACTTTTTACTTGGTTCATAACTTTTTTTAAATCCAATTTTTCCGAAAAGACATTTTTTCCGCACCTTGCAAAAAAAAAACAAAAACAATTGTTATTTTTCAGTTTTCAGTTAGTTTTTAAAACGGAAAATTGAAAAATTTGCAGCAAAAATTGAATTTTGCATTTTTTTCCGTATTATCTGTAGTATCCTTAATACGGTATTACGGATACTACAGATAATAGGGAAAAAATGCAAAATTCTGAAGAATAACTATTGTTTTTGTTTTTGTTTTTTTCTGCAAGTTGCAGGAAAAATTTATTTTCGGAAAAATATTATATGTAGTTTCAGTGATACGGTATAACGGATACTACAGCTGCTGCAATTTTTTTATTTTTTTTGTTTAAAATCCTTGTGATGTTTGAGTCTTGGAAAAAAATATGAGAATTGATGCGAAAATCAATTTTACTCAAAATCCGAACAAGATATGGTGAGTGAAAATTTACAAAATTGTTCAAAATTACAAGTTTTTGTATACCAAATTTCAACAATTATCAAAATTATTGTCTTACATTTTTTAATCAAACCTTTATATTTCTTTTAGTAACACCAAAGAAATTTAACTTCGAACTAGCGTAGAAATCGGAAAAATTGTGGATAATTTTTCTGCAAATTGCAGAAAAAACAAAAAGAATAGTTATTTTTCAGTTTTCAGTTAGTCTTTAAAACGAAAATTGAAAAATTTGCAGCAAAAATTTTGCATTTTTTCCGTATTATCTGTAGTATCCGTATACGGTATTACAGATAATACGGGAAAAATGCAAAATTCAATTTTTGCTGCAAATTTTTCAATTTTTCCGTTTTAAATTCTTGTGATGTTTGAGTCTGGAAAAAAATACGAGAATTGATGTGAAAATCAATAAGATGAGTGGAAATTTTCAAAATTATTCAAAATTACAAGTTTATGTTTACCAAATTTCAAAAATTATCAAAATAATGTTCTTACATTTTTTAATCAACCCTTTATAATATTTCTTTTAGTAACACCAAAGAAATTTAACTTCGAACTAGCGTTTTAAAGCGTAGAAAATTGGGGAAAAAGTTGTCATGTTATTCATAAATATTCTCAGTCCAAAACTTTTTTAAATCCAATTTTTTCGAAAAGACATTTTTTCCGTAACTTGCAGAGAAAAACAAAAACAATAGTTATTTTTTGGTTTGCAGTTAGTTTTTAAAACATGAAATTGAAAAATTTGCATCAAAAATTTAATTTTGCATTTTTTTCCTATTATCTGTAGTATCCCTAATACGGTATACCGTATTAGGGATACTACAGATACCGGTATTATGGATACTACAGATAATACAGAAAAAATGCAAAATTCATTTTTTGCTGGAAATTTTTTGTTTCAAATCCTTGTGATGTTTGAGTCTCGGAAAAAAATACGTTTTTTTTCACCGGCTTATTTTTTTTAATAGCAAAAGCATTTGTTAATTTTCATAAAAAAAACTTACATCATTGGAGTATAATATCTTATCCAGCTCGCCCTTGACAGCCATCCTTTTGCACTGAGGCTCACTCTGATACCTCCAATACAGCCACCTCTCCTTCATCGACGGCCCCAGCAGCTCCTTCAACTGATGCTCGCTCAGCTTCAGCTTCTCCTTGACGCTGGTCTCCAAGAACCTCACCGCCGCGTCCCAATCGCGCTTGTCGACGATGGTGCGATCCTCCAGCGCGTTCAGCTGGATAACCCTGAGCATCTCGGACGCCTTGTCCTCCCACGAGTGCCTCGCGACCGCCTCCCTGACCACGGCCTCCTTCAGCCGGTCGAAGATGCCGTCGTGGTTGGGCGCGGACGCGGCCCTCCTCATGAACGCCTCGAACTCCGTGCGCAGGCTCTCCCAGCCCGACTCCACCGACTGCTTCGGCAGGTCGTCCTGCGCCCACTGCCGCAGCTTTATGTCGACGGCCGTGTTGAACGTCTCCGCCGAGCCGGTCTGCGCCGCCGGCAGGTACACGTTCTCGAACACGTGGTCCGACACCTTCTCCCACATTTTGCCCAGCAGCCTGTCGTCCCACTGCTTCGCGCTCACCTGGGAGAGGTTCACGATCTCGTCGAGGACCTCGGCGCGAGCGCGCTCGAACAGCTCGTCGCGGTCTTGCTCGCGCAGGCGCGGGAAGTTGTTCTTCCACTCGGACTCCAAATTGAAGCGTCTCGCCTTGAACGAGTCCGCTTGCTGTTCGACGGTTTCTTTCACCATCTTCCAGAAACAGTCCGCCACAGCGAGACTGAGGTTTCTCGTGGTTACCTGAGTGGATTTTATGACACCTTCCCTAATAAAGTTACAAAAAGAAAACATTAACTTGTTTAACTTCCTTAAATAATTCGGATCTTCTATAGCTACATATTTATTTATTTATTATTAAATTAAAACTACAAATCAACTTGTAATAGCTGTTAACTATGAGGCGCCGTTTGTCCGTAAATTATTTTTGTTATACAAGGTGTCCCTAAACTTAGTGGCATAAATTTAGGAGCAGATTAAGCAAGTCAAAATAAGACGAAAATCTAAATAAATATTTTTCCTAATTACGTATGTTTAAAAGATACAGGGTGATAAAGTGTTACTTATCATTTCAGTTTTTTAATATAACTTTTACTATGGTAGATTTGAAAAGGTGATATTTTGCGAACAGTCACTTACTACCAAAACACATATTCAGACATAATTACAATTGTTTGAGTGAAAACAGTGTCGTAGAAACGGGGGTTGCTTTAAGCTTATTGTCCCATACAAACTTTGAGGTTAGGTTTTTGTAACATTTGATGCAATTTTTCGATTAAACAGTTCGGCTACCATTAAAAAGGTGTACCTCTTAAACTTCGATAAAATAAACCGTTTCCGAGATATTCGAGATTACTATAATTGTTAAATCGCATTATTTAAAAGGATTAAAAGGTATATGATAACAAATTTTATTTTTTAATTGAAAAAACTAAAAAATTTGTTCATATACCTTTTAGTCCTTTAATGCGATATAACAATTATTGTAATCTCGAATATCTCGGAAACGGTTAATTTTATCGAAGTTTGAGAAGTACACCTTTTAATAGAAGCCGAACTGAGTAATCGAAAAATTGCATCAAATGGTATAAAAACCTAACCTCAAAGTTTGTATGGGACAATAAGCTTAAGCAACCCCTGTTTCTACGACACTGTGTTCACTCGAACAATTGTAATTATGTGTGAATATGTGTTTTGCTAGTAAGTGACTGTTCGCAAAATATCACCTTTCCAAATCTACCATAGTAGAAGTTATTTTAAAAAACTGAAATAATAAGTAACACTTTATCACCAAACATACGTAATTAGGAAAAATATTTATTTAGATTTTCGTCTTATTTTGACTTGCTTAATCTGCTCCTAAATTTATGCCACTAAGTTTAGGGACACCTTGTATATAAACTTTAAATTTCCTATATATATAGAAACTTTTTAGTTCAGATAATGCCCCCTGAGAATGAGGCCGCTTTGCGGTTATCAACTAAAAAGCACTGTTGCCAGAGTGTGCTAATGCAAAGTTTTAGTCAGTGTTTCCAACATAACGTTTTGCCAGATCTAGCAGATTTGATAGCAGATAATAAAGGTCGAGGTAAAAAAGATACTCTTACGGCTGACGGATTTTTTAACGGAAACTTGAACATAATCGAATGGTATTTGTCATAAGATTTGTACCAATATAATTTAATTTGTAAGAAAAAATTCTTTGTTTTTTTATAAATTGACAAGAGAAGCAAAACGTAAGAAATTTTAGTTTTTTTAAATACGTATTAGTAAAACTAAAGCCGTGTGTATTTAGAGAAATAGAGATGGACAAAGAAGAGAAATTTTGTCTTCAATAAAAATAGACGAACTGACCAATTTATTACCTATAGGTATTTAAAAAAACTAAAATCTTATACTTTTTGCAATTATTTTGTTCCGCTAGATCTGGCGAAAGATCCGTTATGTTGGAAACACTGACCAAAACTTTGCATTGGCACACTCTGGCAACAGTGCTTTTTAGTTGATAACCGCAAAGCGCCCTCATTCTCTAGCTCATTCTGAACTAAAAAGTTATAGGAAATTTAAAGTTTATATATAAAAAATATTCTTATACAAGGTGGCGCAAAAGTCATCACCCTATTGGAAGATGCTATAATTTTTGCAAATGGCGGCAAATGTCAATTCTGTTTTGACATTTGTGAAGTCAACACATACAAAATACACGTCAACTAGACATGGATCGCTATACTCCTCAAGAACGCGATTTTTTTGCGGACCACGACGAAGACAATTTTTCATCCAAAATCATCATGAGCGACGTGGCCCATTTCCATATCTGTGGATATGTTAATAAACAAAATTATCGCTTCTGGGGCACCGAAAATCCGCGTATAACCCACGAAGAGCCATTGCACCCGCTCAAAGTTACTGCATGGTGTGCTGTTTACGATCGAGGCGTCATCGGGCCTTATTTCCACTACTGTGGACGGTGAGCGCTACAGAGCCATGCTAAACGACTTTCTCCTTCCTCAATCGTATGAATTCGGACTGGAGAACATGTGGTTTCAACAGGATGGAGCAACGGCGCATACTGCCCGAGCCACAACCGAAATTCTGCAGGCTGCATTTCCGGGTAGCCTAATCTCTCGTTTTGGCAATTTGCACTGGCCGGCCAGTTCGCCCGATTTAACCGTTCCAGACTTCTTTTTATATGGGGTTTTTTAAAGTCACGAGTCTATGTAAACAAGCCTCAGACTCTTGAAGCCCTCAAAGATAATATTCGTCAAGAATGCGTGAACCTATCGCCGGAAGTTCTGGCAAGAGTGATGGAAAATGCCATAAATCGGGCCCGTATGGTCATCAATTCTGGCGGCGGCCACTTGACCGATATAATTTTCTCGACCTAATGAAAAAAAATTTAAGACATCAAATTAACATAATCCAAAAGCAGAACCAAAGTTTTTCATTCATAAAAAAAATTACAGCCAAAGAACATCGGGTGACAACTTTTGCGCCACCTTGTATATAGCGCCTCATAGTTAAGGTAGAGTAATCTATACCTACAATAAAGATAAAATAAAATTCATAAATCTGTTTTCTTGTAAACTTACTTAAACAATTTGGAGCTTCTAAAGAAATCTTCCTCGTAATCCTTAATAGTTTGTATAGCGTCATCTTTGCGTCCCCTGCCGGTGACAACGGCAAAGTATCCTATGGCTTTCATGGGAAACAATTTTCCCGCCAAAATTTTTCTTATCTGACACCAAGAAAATCACCGTTATATTAGTTTTTCCGGAAATATATTTTTGGTTTATTGGCAGTGGCATAGCTAGGTTGAGTGGCGCCGGGTATCAGACACAAAAGTCTCGCCCATGGGAGGGTACAATCAAACCCAAAAATGTCATCATATCCAGCATTTATTTTAATACACTTTCATAGAAAATCTAACCGTTGATATTTTTTAAATTCTTTATTTTTGTTTCATTGTTTTATGTTTATATTGCGTTTTTTATTTTTCAAAACTAAGCATAGGAATATTTATACCATGTTACTATTATTTTAATTTTATTTCAATGTTTTTTTTCATGGATAACTTGACAGAAAAAAATGTTGTACAGGGTGAGTCGCAAAAAAATGGCACACTGTGCCTATGTAGGCACTTCATTTGTAATTCTTGACACGACTGTTACTAGTATCTTAGAGCGTTTTGAATATTGCATTTTTGTAAAATTGTTTGAAAAACGGAAGAATTTTTTTTGATGACAGACATTTTATGCGTAGTTTCCAAATTTGGTTTTTACACTTTTTATACTATCGTTTCAAAAATTAAACGTTAAAATTTGTTGATAAAAAACCCTTAATGGTTTTTAAGTTAAATTAAATTAATTAGGTACTCTTTTAAATTTATTAAAAAACTTACCCTATTTGGGTCCGCTAAATTTTGTTCGGCCATATCAACTTTAGTCAATACAAAAATAGTTCTTTTGCCATGGGGATCGCAGTTGGCCACCAAATCTGTGACGTTACTGCGTTCTGCGTCGACTGCGCCATCCTAAAACCAAAAAATAATTAGCGTATATTTAACTTTAATAATATAAAATTGCTTACTTGTATACATAAAATAATGGCATTGGGATTATTCATGTACGCCTGAGTCATCTGCTTTATACTCTCCCTGGTATCAGCAGCCATATCAGTTGTAACAGTCTAAAATAAAATGGATTGAACACAATATAATAATAAATATAAACAAGTCTTACAGATATAATTCCTGGTAAGTCGACCAACACCATTCTCTGCAGTCCAGGGCCTGAATAATAATTTTTTTTAATACCATGCCAAAAACAAGTTCGATTATGTAATGGTCCATTAGATAGTCTCATAGCTTAATAATGGCATTTTTAGCCAAAGCTTTACTTGTACTGGTCCTTTACAGGAATATTTAATAAAAATATTAATTTTGATAAAATAAAATTAATATAAATGGCCCTTTTCAGGCTAATATTTGTATATTTTACCATAAAAGACCCTTATAAGGGTATAAATACGGCAATTTTCAGTATCTTTAATGGGACTTTAAAAAACCATTGAAGTGCCAAATGTTTTCTGTATATAAAACTTACATGAACCTTTAATTATCCTTTGGTTAACGCCATATTTTAAAAATGTCGCCCAGTGTAATTCCTATAGTTTTAATAGTGTGTTATACCACATACAAAAATAATAATAATACCTAATGGTTGTTAAATTTAAATGAGTAAGTAGGTGCATTTTAATTTAATTTTTCATATTTTAGAACTCTTGTTACAGACAAAATACTGCCAAAGAATTAATTGATAAGATCCAAATTGGGGCAATTGCGAATAAAAGAAATAAATAATTGACAAAGTAGAGTAGATGACAATCTACCAAAAAAAATCAGGTGAACTTATTTGTAAATGTATATTTTAATTTTAAGGATTTCAAGGATTTTTTTATTTATTTAAATATTATGGATTCCATTTATTACCTTTTAAAATTTAATTTTTATGTTTTACTTATACAAGGCTCAACACATTGCTTTGTATTTTTTTTTTGTAAATAAGGAAAAAGTTGTAGAAAATTTAATTATTATGATAATATCGCAAAAGTTGACAGTTTACAAGATATTTAATAGTCATGGAATAAAATTTTTAAAAGTTAATCTGCTCATATATTTTAAACTGTACACTTTAGCGGTAGGGGCTTTTTTGTATAAAATTAAATTTTCTACAACTTTTTCCTTTAAAATATTTCGGTAAGACAAGCCATTTCTTAATATTTTCAGAAATAGGTATGTGAAAACAGTAAAAAAAAATTCTTTTAGAGCTGATACCATCAAGGTGAATCAAGTTAGAGAAAAATTAGGCTCTTTTAAAAAGCGATAAATACTCTGTAAGCAGAGTTGCAAAAATGTTAATGTAAAAAATAATGAAATCATAATTTTTTTTTAATGGCAATCATTTGAAAGTGCACGATTTTTTTCACTAGTGTAATACGATCTTTTATGTGTCATATTTATTTGTCAAATGTCAATTTGAAATTTATTTATAAATAAATTTCAAATTGACATATTGACATATAAATTGATATATCAATTCAAAATGCCGCGGTTATCTGAACCCGAAAAAATGCGAGCTATTGCCCTTTTGGAAAATGGTTGGTCGCTGCAAGCAGTGGGAGATGACCTGAACGTTAGTAAAAGCTGCATTTTTAAATTAAAACAAAAATGGAATGTGGAAGGAAACGTTCGGTTTGTTCACGGCGGCGGCCGTGCTAAAGTAAGCAATGCACAGGAAGACTACCTCCTTGTCAATCATTTAAGAGGAAATCCCTTTGATTCGGCAGCAAAGGCCCGTTTTGAAACACAGTTCCCTGGATCTGTGTCTACTGCAAGAAGGCGGATAAATAGCTCAGAGTTAAAGTGCTATAGAGCAGCAAATAAAGTGTCTCTGGAACCAAGACACAAAATACAACGACTGAATTTTGCGAACCAGTTTGTCGGTAGACCGGATCCCTTTTGGGAGAATGTCATTTTTTCGGACGAAAAAGTTTTTCAATCGTGCTACGACGGTTCCGTCCTTGTCTACCGACCTCAAAATTCTAGGTATGCAGAGCCATATGTTAACCCTACAGGTCGCAGTGGACGCTTTTCCGTAAACGTTTGGGGATGGATAAGCTACCAAGGTCCCGGTGTCTGTTGGAGGGTAGAAGATCGCTTGAATGGAGAACATTATAAAAGCATTTTAGAAAATGTTATGCTACCCTCTGTCAGAATACTGCATCCGCAGAATTTTATTTTCCAGCAGGCAATAACTACTATTTATTTTACAATATAAACAACAATTAAAATTTTAGGATAATTGTGCAGTTCATACTGCAAGAACCGTCAGCGAATGGTTCAATATAAACCAAATTCAAGTTTTACCTTGGGCCGCAAAGTCGCCTGACCTAAATCCAATTGAAAATGTATGGGGAATCCTCGTGAAAAAAATGTATAATAGACATTTTCACCCGGCCAATGCCGAAGAATTGTGGGAAGCAATACAAAATGCTTGGGAAAGCTTGGACGATGAGTACATCAAAACCCTTATTATGTCCATGCCAAGACGTTTACAAAGCGTAATAAACGCAAATGGTGCGTGGACAAAATATTAATTTTTAACAATTATAATAAATTAATTTAATCACTATTACCTAACTACTTTTATTAATATATATTATTTTGGTTTGGAAACATAATATTTCTTGGTAAAGCAAACATAAAAAATTACCTGGTCATGAGAGCTATCAATAATATTTTTTTTAACCACCTGTCAAGATGACACTTCACGTTAACCTTAAATTTTAAAGTCAGTATCACACAACTCAATTATACGCAAATTCGGCACAAGAGTCGTGCACTTTCAAATGATTGGCACATTAATCATTAAAAAAAAATTTAATGAGAAATTTTTCATTACACATTAATTAATGAGTAATGTTGAACAATACAACACTCGTTAAAAAATAAAAAATGAGTAATGAGAGATCGTAAATAACACATTAAAAAAAATGTGTATCAACAAAAGACATTACCCATTATGTACATCAGTGAAAAATGATCAGGAGTAGAGTTGATGGGGTGATTTTTTATATGGGGCATTTTACACCAAGTTGATTTTCGATGTCTTTTATTTTTCGATATTTTTAAGTACCCATTAAAAATCCCTTTTTGGTAAAGTTTGATATTTTTTTGATTATTCGTTCAAAAGATCAAATTTTCAAAACAATCGCGTTTTTTTTTGTTTTTTGCTGCTAATTTCTTTAATAATGGTCCGAATTGAAATTTTTAATTCTTAAAATTTTCGTGTATAAAAAATTATCCAAAACATATGTATGCGAATTTTTTTTAATTAAAATTTTAATTTTCTTCGATTTCCTTGCAAACAAAAATTGAAAAAATGTGTCATGCAATAAAAATATCTTCCTTTCCCACTAAACATGAGTAATTCGATAATCATTCATTTCTCATTAAAAATAAAAAAATTAGTACCTAATGTAAAAAAGAATACATTACTCATTGGAAAAAATGTATTGGGGAATTAAGTTAATTTTCATTTAAAAAGAAGTAATGCATAATGATTATTAAACACACAGGTAACTCATTATTTTAATAATGTGTATTGAAACCTTAATGCATTAAAAAAATAATGTATTATTTGCAACTCTGTAAGTAACAATGAACCACAATATGATGGGAAAAATTCAAAATGAGAAAGTACTTGGAATCAAAATTAAGGGCTCAAACTTAGATAATTATTTTTTCAATGTTTTGATCCATATTTTGTTTTGAGTTTTGGTAAAAAACAAAAAATAGTCGTTTTAATATTTACTCACCTTTAACAGTCATTGAAATAACTTCACTGGAAACCGTTTTTCCGCCTCGAACGCTATTCCTCATTCTTAGTTCAACCTCCCTTCTTAGGTCGGCCAAATCAGACTCTTTAGTCAAATCGAATTCTCTGGAGGAATCGCGGAATTGAGCCACATGGTACGGGCCTTCGGACAGCGTCACTTTAACTGGGGCTCTCGTCATCATTTCCCCTGCACCCCTGGGAAAAATTCTCGCTTGCGCGATCATTTCCAAAACGGAAGTTTTGCCCGAACTCTGATCTCCCACCACCACCACTCTCGGCAGTTGATCTTGCGTGTTGTAACCACTGTCAAAGTCGGCTAATTCGTCTAGAACTTCACTGTACATGTCTATCAAACTCTTCTTGATTTTTCTCGTGGGCGGTTTTCTGCCTTGCTTCAACAGCAAATTTTGCTTCCGTAACTCTTTGTTTTCCTTTTCTAGCCGCTCGAGTTCCCTCTGGTATTTTATCTGCGTTTGCATCATCTCATCCTGTATATTGTTCAACCTCTGTTGCGCTTCTTTTCTTGCCTTCTCATCCTCGTTACTCTGAGCGAACGGTCTCGCATACACCACCGTTTTCTCCTTAATATCGTGTTTAGCTTCTAAAACAACACACTGTAAAACACTTCGATTATTAATCGTGCTCCATACCTGAGTACAATCTGTCTACAAATTCCGATAGGTTGGAGAAAACACCTAAACAAAAGAAAAAGGGTGAATAGAGTGTACTCAAATATGGTTTGTTTCTATTTCACTTTCGTTTTACCTTCGACAGGTTCGGGTAATGGCGTGTTTTTTTGTTCGGCCGCAGCAATCGCATTGTCCAACCTATTGTCGAACCAATCTCTGAATTGTTTGTATTTTGCTTCGGACAGAGCTTTTATTCTGGGATCTAAAATTTTAAAATTAATTACAGCGGGGGTTTGTAGAAAATTTTTTAAACTATTTGCATTATGCAAATTGCATACTATACTTTTTCTATGACAAATACTTAATTTTATCTAAAAAATGATTTAAATTAAATATTTGTATAAAACATCTATACGAAAATAAAGTAACCATCCCAAAAAACATTTTTGACGTAATTTTCACCATTAACATTGCCCGTTATTATTTTAATTAAACTTAAAAACTTTAAAATATTAAAATGACTTCAAAATATGATTATGTTAAGAAAATATTTTATCCTTTGATTTTTTTTACTCCTATATGTAATTGCAAAATTTTATCAAAAAGTATTAAAAATTCTTGCACGGGAAATTTTAAAGGTACAAAAAGTATTTTTGGAGCATGGTACTATTACTATAAGTTTAATTAATGTTCAATGTTCTTTCATGGATAACTTGACAGAATAAATTTTTGTAGTTATTATTGTGCATTTTTCTACTTAAAATTTTTCAATAAAATTTAGTATAGGGTCGTTTTAAGGGGTGGTGAATCCAGTGCCGTGCTTAGATTTTGTTTAATCCGGTTAAAATCGCACAATAAATATATAGTATATATATATATAAGTATATAGTACTCATAGTATGATAGTACTATATATTTATATAGTATTATATATATATAGTACTATAGATATAGTACTATATACTATAGTACTATGGCAAAATCAAAAGTGCAGTACAAACGCTCATATAATCTTTTTATTTTATCAATGTGTATTTAAAAGGTCATGGAAACATGTATAATAATGGGTGTTTTAAAGGTGGGAGGAGAAAAAAATTGTTTTAAAAAGGGGTTTTCGTGGTCTTTTTTCTTTTTTTTCTCAAGCTTAACTCTTTGTATACATTTAATATTTTTATATTTACCCAAACACATTCTTATGTATGTTAAAAAACAAGTAAATTATTAATAATAATTAAAAGCAATACACCCGCTAAGTCGTTAACTAAAACTTAAAAGAACATCCGCATAGAGCGCTGGTCAAACTGCTTTGGTATATTATGGCTTTTGTTTTTTAGGTATATTTTATTGTTTTTTAAGAAAAATGTAGGATGCGATATATCATTTTAATAGTATATTCACAATCCATTGGGGGTATATTAAAGAACTAATGTCATAAGACGTCATTTTGTCGCAAGCGACGAAGGAACGAGTTTTGTAATGGAAGAGTGCGACAAAAGGTCTTGTGACATAAGTCCTTTATGCTATTTTATCTATTTTGCAAAAATTCTATAAATAAATTAATTTTATACCTTAAATTTAATTTGTTCGAATTTAACTTCAGATAGTTGGTATCACAGTCATTGGTTTGACAGTTAATGTCAAAATCGATTCGCCATGCCGTCCTTAATTTACTTATTTACAATAAGCGGCTGTTAAAGTTAAAGAGGAAAAAAATGATTTTCTTTGGTGCTAAACAAAATTTATTTCCAGAAAAGTCTCATAAGTAGTAAAATCATAAAAATATTATAACCAATATGCAAAATATTGTGCTGTTTAAAGTAAAGCCAACCTATAAAAACAAAATTTTGGGTGGGATAAAGTATCTCATTACAGCACCAAAAGCGGTGTTATAATGAAGTCATTATGAACGCAAAATAGATAAAGGGAATTTAATAAACTAGAACCTAAAAATATATTTTTAAAATTACTTTTTAATAAAGAAATTTTTTAGCACAACAACTACCTTAAATAAACGCAGTTGGCCTATTTATATTTATACTTTTATGAGTTTTAGGAGATTGATGACAATTTTAGGAGAACTATAGGAGTTTTCAAGATTTAGGAATTTTATGAGTTATAGGATATGTGGGAGCCCTGATAGAATGAAAAAAAAAGAAAAGCAATAAACCCAACTTATAAAACTCAAAAAAGCCCAGTGGATTTTCTTTAAAAACCTGGGTTTTTTCAACCCTAACTTAAAGCACAAAATGAAACTGAACATACTTTTTCCAAATTTGGTATAGATATTATCCCTTGATAAGGATGAAAGGATTTAAAAAATCTAATGTTTGTAATTAGATAGTAGATTGTTAAATAATTTTTATGTCAGGTAGGTAATAAATAATGAAATATTATTTGTAATTAGGTAATTTAAATTATGCATGGTTTGTAAAAATAACTTAATTTCAAAATTATCAACAAGATCAAATTAATTTGGTTGTTCATTAACTAGATACACAGTGTCAGATGCAAAACAAATATTGCTATATTGCTATCTTATGTAGCAAGGAAATAAAAAAGATCACGAATTTGAATGTGTTCTTATAAAAAAATTGGCTGTTTCACAATATCAGAAAAACAACAGTTGATTAAGCAAAATGGTGGTCACTTTTGGATTCAAAATAATTAAAAAATGAAATCAGTTTTTAGTGCCAAATAAATACTAATAACAATAATAAATTCTGTTAAAAAGTTAATATTATAAAATGCATTACAATTCTTTATAAGTAAATACCTATTTCAATATTATCCTTAACAGAATCCTTTATATCAATAAGATTATTCCTCCATTCTTGCCACTTGTCATTTTCAGGCATAATTTCATCTAGCCATTTTAAATCGGGAAGCCCCTCTTTCCATTCATTGTATTTCTACAAATTTACACATAAAACTCTAAAAATTACACCCAAAACTCAAGTACCTTGTTTAGTGCCCCACCACCGGCCACTGCACCTCCCAGCAACAAATATCTGATCTTTAAAACGCCCCGTAAAGCTTTTACGACCAACATTCCATATTCCCTTCTTTGATATTTGTATTGCTGATGAAGCAAAGGTCGGGACCTGTCAAGGGCTCTTCCACCCCACAAAGAACACACTCCCCTTTGACTATTCCTTTGCGCCCCATACTTTGTGTACGAACTTATTACAATCCGCCTAAAATCCAATACAATTAAACATAACCTAGATGTTGTGTAATAAAATAGCGTACCCGAATTTTCCTCTGACTATATGCTCCATGGGGATATTCTATTTTCAGACTGTTATAGCATTATATAAAACGAGTTAAATAATTATTGAACATGTTATAAAATATGATTGACAACTTGCCATTTGACTTTGACTTTTGCCGGTAAAAAAGAAATTTCGGTCGGCGTATGCAACTTAATTTGCACCATTGTGTTAGTGGTTGCATGGGGTTATTTTTGCGAAATGAATTATAAACAAACTTGTTATGCCTAACTTATACATAACAGTTAAAATAGTTATTTATGTATTAAGGGCATAATAAGGTTTTTATGGTCCGAGGCGCTATTTCGAGCCCGAGCGCGTTAGCGCGAGGGCTAGAAAAGCGTCGTAGGACCATAAAAACCAGTTATGCCAGCAATGCATACAAAACTTTATGCACGATTAATATATTATTATTTTTAATATATTATTGTTTTTAAAGGCGTTTACGTCAAAGAATTTTTGTTATAATTGTCATATTATAATGTCAACTGACATCAGTCAGTTTTAAAGTTTAAAGATGAATGAAATTGAGGAAGCAGCTGAAAAGGCGAAAAATTGCGGCCTGCTGCCGGAAAAATCAAAATCTTTATACGAAAAAACTTACTTCGAATATATCAAATGGTGTAACATTGTTGTTTTTAATTTTTGACGTTTCATTATAGCCCGCTGGGCCATAATAACGCCCGCGGGCTATAAAAAGACGTTTACGTCAAAGAATTTTTGTTATAATTGTCATATTATAATGTCATCGTGCATAAAACATATTTATGTGTTGTGCAAATGTTTATGTGTTTGATAGAGGTTGTCAGGCCATAGATGACCGAAGGCTTTGATAGTTGCAAATTATTGTATTTGCATAATTAGTAAACATTTTTATTAGCGATTTATCGCATTGTCTATCTAGTGTGTATTTACTTGATAAAATTATTATTGTTCTTTGGTTGACTGGAGAACACAAATTAATTAACATGTTACGACGATTTATATATCATAGGGTGGTAAGACTTTTTTGTTTTTCATTATTATTAGTTAATTTGATAATTATATTTGGTATTTAATTTATTATCGTTGTTGATTAACTATGTTAACATATAGAAAGGAATATTTGGGGTAGGTATATCTTGAAATAATCTCTATAAAAAGGGGCTGTTTAATGAAGTCCGGACCTGTTCCCGTTAGAATTTAGTGGTTTATTTCTGCCAGTGCAGAAGAGCGCGTCGCGATCATCTGTTAATAATAATCACGTTTTTCACTGGCTGATTGCGCCCGTGTGCGGTTAAATAAAAACAGATTCCTTGCGAGGAGTCATAAACTTGGCCTTGGCTTTGCTCCTCTCGGCCAGTTCAAGGATAAAACCTGATCCAGCATAGTCTATGTGATTCAGTGTAAACAAATTCGTAGGTAGTATGGAAGTGTCGTCGCTTTTCCAGTCTTATTTAATGGACTCGGAATTTAATCAATTGGACCTATCCTTTTGTCACCAGGTGAGTTTTGTGACTTTGTTTTGTTATGTTATGTAACAAAGGTAACTCGATCAAATTTGCTTTTTTCGTGTTTTGGAGTTTACAACAAAAATTATACTTGGGTAACTTTTAAAGTTTGGATGCTTGTTTGCCTCATTTTTTAGGAACCTAAACGTAATAATTTTATAAAGAAATGCATTTTTCCTTGTTTGTTAACTAAGTTTCTAAACTTAATTAATTAATTACCTAATTAATTTTTTTCGTTAAATTTGACAAATGCGCGTCCTCAAATTTGGGTGTTACATTTAAAATAGTTTAAACTACTGTCAACAAATTGTTTATAACAACCTGAAAAATTTACGATATTAAATTTTGAATAATGACAGATTACGTGGTAACCATGGATACCGTCAACTCGCCCGTCACAGGTTTCTTGATACAAAATATTTATATTTATTATTATATAGGTAATTACCTATATAATAATAAATATAAATATTATAAATTATTATAAATATTAATATATTTAATGTTATATTTAAAATTTTAGAAATTGTTAAATATCTCTGAAATTATTAACTTTAGGTATAGGGAATAGTAACATCAATCAAAAGGTTTTTAAATTTACTATTTGATTAAGTACCTATGTAAAAACATACCGGGTGTTACATTTAAAATAAAAAAGTTACTAACCTTTCAGTTTTGCCTAATTTGCCCTTGGTTTTCTCAGAAAAACAATGTTTTAAGATTCCAAAAATTCTACCGCCATATCCGCAAACGTACAGGGTGGTCCACGTAAGGTGACCCATATACTTATCTCAGAAACTACTGGAGTCACAAAAAATTTGTAAGAAACAAATATTCACGAAGTAAAAAATATTTTTAAAATATTATATTTTCATTTATACAGGGTGTTCGGTTTTCCTTGGGACGATACCAACTTTCTTATTTTCAATGGAACACCCTGTATTTTTTTGCATTTTTGGATTCTACCCACTCTTTTAGGTATACTTTGTAGATATATTAATTAAGAAAATGTTAATACTTTTTGAGTAAAATTAAGATTTATTAAAATTTCTCTAAATGTAGACACTCGCTAAAAGTTAAAAATAACCAACTAAAAGTTATTATTTTTTATATTATGTAGTATCCATCTCTTAAATAATAAGTAAGCTATAAGTTAATTATTATATTTTTTGGAAAATATCATACAGGGTGTTTTCTATGTCCCGTTGAAAATAGCGATTTTAAAAGTTTAAAATCTTGTTTTTCTTCAATGGAACACCCTATATATTTTTGCATAATTGAATAGAATAAGTAATTACCTTTCATTTTATATATATATATGTCCTATACCTAAACCTAACAGAAAAAAAAATATTCGCATTTTTTACAATTAGTAGCTTTTTTCCAATTACCTTAGTTAAATTTTCGTTATTCAAATAAATAAATTTCAATAACAACAAATAAAAATGCTTTTATATATAAATATATATTACTATAATAATTACCATACGCGCAAAGCTACTAATTTTGTAAAATGCGAATATTTTTTTTAGGTGATCCACGTAAGGTGTCCCATATACTTATCTCAGAAACTACTGGAGTCACAAAAAATTTGTAAGAAACAAATATTCACGAAGTAAAAAATATATACAGGGTGTTCGGTTTTCCTTGGGACGATACCAACTTTCTTATTTTCAATGGAACACCCTATATTTTTTTGCATTTTTGGATTCTAAACACTCTTTTAGGTATACTTTGTATATATATTAATTAAGAAAATGTTAATACTTTTTGAGTAAAATGAGGATTTATTAAAATTTCTCTAAATGTAGACATTCGCTAAAAGTTAAAAATAACCAACTAAAAGTTATTATTTTTTATATTATGTAGCATTCATCTCTTTAATAATAAGTAAGCTATAAGTTAATTAATTTATTTTTTGGAAAATATTATACAGGGTGTTTTCTTTGAATAATGAAAATTTAAGGTAATTGGAAAAAAGCTACTAATTGTGAAAAATGCGAATATTTTTTTTTCTGTTAGGTTTAGGTATAGGACATATATATATAAAATGAAAGGTAATTACTTATTCTATCCAATTATGCAAAAATATATAGGGTGTTCCATTGAATAAAAACAAGATTTTAAACTTTTAAAATCGCTATTTTCAACGGGACATAGAAAACACCCTGTATGATATTTTCCAAAAAATATAATAATTAACTTATAGCTTACTTATTATTTAAGAGATGGATACTACATAATATAAAAAATAATAACTTTTAGTTGGTTATTTTTAACTTTTAGCGAGTGTCTACATTTAGAGAAATTTTAATAAATCTTAATTTTACTCAAAAAGTATTAACATTTTCTTATTTAATATATTTACAAAGTATACCTAAAAGAGTGGGAAGAATCCAAAAATGCAAAAAAATACAGGGTGTTCCATTGAAAATAAGAAAGTTGGTATCGTCCCAAGGAAAACCGAACACCCTGTATAAATAAAAATATAATATTTTAAAAATATTTTTTAGTTCGTGAATATTTGTTCCCTACAAATTTTTTGTGACTCCAGTAGTTTCTGAGATAAGTATATGGGTCACCTTACGTGGACCACCCTGTACCTAATATGTTTGAAAACTATTCCCTTTAGGTATAGGACATGGCAAAGTAATTTTACTCAGAATTTTATACAGAATTTAAAAATGTTTATGTCACTTCCGGTTAAATGTGAAACACCCTGTATATAGGTATTTGCTGTTTGTTTATTTGTGATTTTGCCTTTTAATACACTTTTTTCTTTACTTTTTTTACTTTTATTATTATTTATATAATAAATTATATAACGTAGTTCATTTTGTGCTAAATAATTTAACCTTCAGGTTTGTTGGGGCCAAAAGTGCTTTTTGGCATGAATTAAGTTATTTCTGATCATTCTAATAATAGGAAATGTGATTAATAAATTTGATTTCTATAAACTGTTAACAGTTTATAGAAATCAAATTCTGCCGAACAACTGTTTTAAATATTATTGTTATTTTTAGATCTAGACATTATTTAAATTAAAAAAAAATCGGAAAAATATTTTAGAGAACCATTAGTCACAGTGACGTAACTTACTTACGAATGCTTTTGGTTAATTTCTTGATGTTATCAAAATGTTATTATTGACCGCAGCAAAATTTAAATATTTATTGTTGACATGACAGGAGGTTATACTATTGCTCAGGCGTCTTCAAATATTTTATGTTATGAAATCATTCACATCTCAAACTTGACAAATTTACACAGATAGGGTGCTACATTAATAAATAAAACAATAATCAGTATTTTTTATGTTTAATATAACCCAATATTTTTATTGTACTTACATTATATTTATTATACGGATTTATTTAATAAACTTTTGACGAAAAAAACAAAACAATGAAAAATATAAATTAATTTATTGAATAAAAAAATAAATAAAATTAATGCTAGTAAAATGCAAATTGATTCAACTTCTATAACCGGGTCAAACCAAAGACAATATAATAAAAAAAAATAATAAAAATAAAAACCGTTACTTTAACGTTTTAATTCTCTGACTTGGTAGATAGAAATCTCGAAATGCCAATTACAAGTAGCTGCTATTTTAGGAAAAAAGCATAATATGTTTCGTTGTAAAAGGTATTGTTGGTTTATCTCAAGGCAGCATCATCAAATTCAAATGTGAATTTGTCATTGGAAAAGTATGTAAATTGTACTCACTTGTTTTTTTTTAATCGTTTAATTAATTAAATAAAAACGTTTGTTTTAAACAACAGACTTCAAATTGTTTTCTTTAAATTTTGTTTGTTTTAAATATGTTAATCATTGAGAAATGCCGATATAATTCTAAACAAACAATTTAAATCTAATTTAGAAGGCATTTCCACTTATATAAGATTATTTAGTACTTATTTGAAGTGATATAATTAAATATGTGATTTGATTTCAAATTAATAATTATAATTAATATTCTTATCGTATATTTTTATTATTTCTTAAAAATTAAATAATAACAGCCTAACAAATGATGTTTAAAATACATAATATGCTATCAAAACCACTGAAGTACTTCAGTACACTTGTATGGTTAATCATTTACATAATATGTATTATGTATTATGAACATATGTACAGTAGGCCTTGTATTTTGTACTAATATGGCGTCCACACAACGAAAAACGTACGTAATATTAATAAAAAAAAACATTAACGCAATGATTTTTTACATTAATTTTGCTCCGATGCTCAAAATCATTACCACAATGCTTTTAAAGTATTACTCAATGTACAAGGACGTAATATTAATGCTTGGCGGACATTGATTTTAAATAAAATAAAAGTACTGATATTAATGACCATTGACATGGATTAATGTCCTAGTACATTAATTCTATGCCCAGTAAACATCAACCAATTAATAAATGTTTAATCAATTAACAATTAAAGAACATTATCCCAATCACCTAATATACATTAATTAATGATCTGTTAGCATTATCATAATGCAAAGAAGCATTAATAGTAGGCCTGAAATAAGGGATGGAAAAATATCGATAAATCGATATATCGATATATCGATATCGGTATACCGGAATGGATCGATATATACGAGCCCTAACCACATAATGTTCGGACACTTCATAATTTATACAGAAATTTTTTTCGTGAATACTATCTCAAAATTATTAGAAGTTATGAAAAATTCAGCTTATTTTGGCATATACCCCTCGAAGGGATTTTTATTTTTAAAAAGTTTACCTTTTATTTTTAGCTTTTAAAAAAAGGCTAACTTTTTAACTTTTTTTTGTATGAGTAAAAAAAGTTATAAATGGACCCATTAAAAAGAGCATAAAATATTATACAAACCCTGAAAATTTGGTAAAAAATAAATAAGTTATAAAAAAGTATAAGTAATTTAAAAATGCTATTTTTAAAGAGTTTTTGCAATTTTCTTAGGAAACGGGAGATTTTGCAGATATATATATATCGCTATAACTTTCTTATTATTTATACAATTTTTACCAAATTTTCAGGGTTTGTATAATATTTTATGTTCTTTTTAATGGGCCCATTTATAACTTTTTTTACTCATGCAAAAAAAAGTTAAAAAGTTAGCCTTTTTTTAAAAGCTAAAAATAAAAGGTAAACTTTTTAAAAATAAAAATCGCTTCGAGGGGTATATGCCAAAATAAGCTGAATTTTTCATAACTTCTAATAATTTTGAGATAGTATTCACGAAAAAAATTTCTGTATAAATTATGAAGTGTCCGAACATTATGTGGTTAGGGCTCGTATAAATATAGGGTATTTCAAAAGTCAAGGACAGCAGAAAAGGGGTGGATAGAGGATGGAATTTTAAGTCGATTAAAAAACGGCAAAGACCATTCGACTTAGAATCCCATCCTCTATCCACCCCTTTTCTGCTGTCCTTAACTTTTGAGATACCCTGTATATATGTAGTAATTATTACACTTACCTTAAGTTTTAACATTAAATCAATTTTTGTATATATGTAGATAAATTATTACACTTACCTTAAGTTTTAACATTAAATCAATTTTTTTGTTGATCAGTTAACAAAAAGAGTTAGAAATATGTAAAAAAATATATTAGTAATTATTACTATTAATATTACTTATGTGGTAATGTTCTCTTTAGCCAGTTCCCTTTAAAGAAGTTCCCAAACATTTTCTACAGGGTTTATGTCCGGGCCACCGCAAAACTGGAACTGGAACTACATATTTCTAGTCCTTTTTGTAAATATTATGAAACTAAAGATTAATATAAAAAAATAATAAAAACCCTTGGTAATTTAAAATCCTTATTTTTATTACAAAAAATTTATGAAACATAAATAAACCTTAACTTTTTAACACACTGAAAAAAAACAATGGTTATCTTAATCAAACAGTGGCGTATTTAGGGGGGGTCCGCCGGGTCCGGACCCCCCCCCCCGGGCGCACATATTTTATTATTTTTATTACAAAAAAAAGTTTAAAAAAAATAAAAATCTCAAGACTGTCAACGTACTTTATTATTTATTAATTATATTTAAATATAAAATCATTAAAATCAAAAATCAACTACTTACGTATTAATGCATAGCATAGTACATATTTAGTTAGTTTTTTTGGACCCCCCCCCCCGGAGCTAAATCCTAAATACGCCACTGTAATCAAATATATAGTAACTTTTACTAAATATTCTGATTAGTATAGGCACAGCCATATTTACTGTTATGTTAACCATGTTTATATTGTAACAGTTTTATTGTCACTTTAACTATATTTTTGTTGTTGCACAAAACAATAATTTATTTAGTTATAATAATCATATGCAAATACCTTATAACCCTCTATATGGTTAAATATACTATACGTATGATATGTATAAACTTTCTGTATAGTAAAAACTACAACGACATATTGTTAATAATGTGTGACAACATTATATTGTTATTGTAACCAGATAATCTTATAATTTTAACCATCTAGTGTAGTACTAACAGTTTAACCGTACATGATGGTTGTAATAGCCTAATCAAACATCTAACTTTACTAAATTTTTATAACAAAATGATTAGAGTACATATAACAAAACTAATTTTACGTATATTGTTATTACAACCATAATTTATAATTAAATGAACCATATTTTGCATAACAAATCTATATTGTTAGGGATTACAATATATTTTCTTAGAGTGCATTGTCTTACTTACATTCTAAAAAGTCACATAATACATGGATTTTGGAAAATGTATTAGAATGCTTCATTTAAAAAAAGTTTTTTTCAATATATGTATGACCAGACCATGACACATTCTTCAGGGAAATAAAGGTTAAAAATACTTGCACTTTTTTATATTTCATATAATAATAAACCTAAACGCACAACAATCGGGATGGGCGGGCAAGCACGTCGCAACAGGATTAACAAGAATACTAAACTGTTGTTAAATTGTTTTCTTACTTGCATTTTTAGGTGGTGGGAAACAACAGGGCCTAATATTAATGTATTTAGACATTGGCTCAACGTATTTGGCGATAGAGTTATGATTTGTTGTATTATTTAATATGTTAGAGCATTATATTCATGCTAAGGTACATAAGTTGATGTCTACATAGTCATTAATGTAATAATTTTAGATTATTAAATTATACCATTTAGAGTATTAATCTATTAAGCCTTGACATTAATTTTATCACTGAGCAATGATTAACTAATGTACTCTAGGTTATTGATTTAATGTAAATAATCATCGTATTAATGTAAAATATTATTGTCTTAATGTATTTTGGCTAAAAAATAATAAAATTCCTGCACTAGGATAATGACCAGGCAGACATTGTGACAATCCAATAATACATTAACTCATATTTTTTAAGCATTATCATAATTACTTGATTGCATTAATACTATGAAAAGGACATTATCGTAATGATTTTGCACTTAATGATCGTAGGACATTAATATCAGGTACGATATTTTTTTCTGTGTCTTTTTCTCCAAAAATATAGTTTATCAAGATCTATACTTTAAAACAAATCCGGTTAAAATCGCACAATAAATAAAGATTTTACAGGGGTAAGTCGCAAACAGATGGGTCACAATGTACATATATTATATATACAGACTGTATAATACAGTATATACAGGATCTAGACCTATTGCATTTTGAATTAGCAGATACCTACCCCATCTAACTAAAATGTCTGTATTACCAACAATTGTAATGTTGAAAAGTTCATTTTTGGTATACTTGTTAACAAATGAGTATCGTATCAGAAGAAGTCAATAATGGTGTTCCAAAATGTTAGAGTCTGTGGTATTTTCGTTTACTTTTTTGCCACTTGGTAATAACTGCTCTTTTTTTCTTTTAGACTAAATTAAACAAATTTCAAACTTTTAGTTTCTCCTTATACCACTTGTTGGTTATTCTCCTTATCACACTGTATAGTATGTTTTTGTTTCAGATGGATAAAGAAAGCATATTTATGGAGAAAAAAGTATCATCTCCAAAAAAGGAAAAACTGATTGATTTTTACAATGAGAGAAAATACACAGACTGCACTTTTATTATAGGCCACCAAAAATTCTCAGCTCACAAACTTACTTTGGCTTGTTGCAGCCCTGTTTTCGAAACGATGCTCTACGGTGACATGTGCTCGAATGAAATCGAAATCGACGACATCGCACCGGAAGTGTTTCAAAAAGTTTTGGATTTTATTTACACTGACAGTTTGGTTTTCACTTCCATGGAAAACGCCTGGCAAACATTTTACGTGGCCGAGAAATACTTGATCGAAAATCTCTCGAAAAAGTGTTTGGCCTACATCGGTAAAAACATCACTATGGAGAGCTTGGTGATGTGCTACGAATACGCCGAAATGTACGAAAAAGTGGAAATTAAGAAAAAGTGTTTTTGCGACATAAACAACTATTTAAAGGCTGTTTTTACCTGTGATTACCACATGAAACCGTCCACTCTTATCAATATTCTTCGAGACAACAGGTTTAATATGGATCAACACGAGCTGGTCAGGGGTATTCTTCAATGGGCCATTGCAGAATGCACTATGCGGAAAATCTCCCCCGAAACAAAAAATGTGATAAACTTACTCGAACAGTTAGGAATGCTAAAGTTAATTAAAAACCAGTGCCTTTCCATAAAATGCCGCCCTCTCTTCGATTGTGCAAGTGATACTGAACCAATACTGGAACATATAATGGACTGCGAGGAAAAACATGACAAACCTAAAATACGAGGTTGGCCCATTTGCAGGTTAAGAAAAGTCTACAAAATCGCCAGCAGGATAGATCTACATCCTTCGAACTCCTACGTAGCCAGAACGTGTGTAAATAAGGACACGTTGATCTTTGGCGTCTTGGTTAACACGGAAATGAACCCTGGCTATAAAGGGGGCGAAGGTTACTTCGGAACAATCACGGTAAAGATCCAAGAAGATGGCACCAACAAAGAAATAATGCCGGGCACTTCTGTGACAGACGGAATGCAGTATGATAACGAATATTACGTTAACCTGAAGTACTTGGCAAAATTATCGGCTGGAAAAACGTATAAGATCATTATCTCGTACGAAAATCACACCACCTCTGGTGTTATGTTCTCATCTGTACACTCGTATTACATGAGCAATCCCTTGTTCAATGACACCAACGACTGTATTGTGAGTTTTGCCGAAATGACTGGATCTGTTATTAAAGGTCTCACCTATTATCCTTTTTAGATTGTAAAGTTATTGTTATGTGATATTACTTTTTTAATAAACGTTTATTTATTATATATAACACGTTTATTTATTATATATAACACGAAGTACAATTTTGCGAACTTTCCCAACAAAAAGTTTAATTTTATGATGGAGTACCTAGGTACACAACAAACGGAAAAATATAGAAGTGTATAGGATGACTCCCCGTTTAAATACTAAATCTTAAAGTTTTATCAGAACTGTATTGAATCGTGCTTTGTTTTTATATTTTTTTCCTCTATATCTATGCACGACTATAGATACAATATTTTGATTTTCTATATTCAACAGAGGTAGAAACAAGACCCTGTCGAATAGTGCAGTCATTTATGTCTCTAATTATTAAAAAAGGGTTCAGTCCAATGGTGCAGCAAGTTCGGATTCTTATTCTCTCCAAAGGCATAGAAACTCAAGCTTTTCGAATTTTACTGGCAATGATTTTCGTCAATGTCCCCGATAATTATAAAAAACAGCGCAATGCAATATCGCAACGGTTTCGACTTCTCTTTACTCTACCTATAGGTAGTTATAGAAACTGGAGTCTTTCTAATACTGTTCTAGTCAATATTTCTAAGAGCATAAAAAGAGGATGTAATTCAATATTGCAAGAAGTTTTCATCTTTTGATGGATGCAAGTATTTTGAATGTTCTCATTTCTGCATATGATTTTGTTAAAAACAGTTCCTTTCTTTGGTTCCTTTGTCTGATTTACCGTAACAACTCAGGTATGTAAAGCACAGAGGATATGATGTAAAGTATATTTATGTTTTATTTTAAAGTACCTATATTTGTACTGATATGCTATTATTATTAAACTTTATTAATTTAGTAATGAAGTCTGTTGGTAGACCCTACACTATCTCCACTGGTATATGTTAGTACAGCAATATTTAAATCTGGTTGATCAAAAAGTAAACACCAGTACAGGTTATTGTAACATCTACGAACAAATGAATTTATGGCCCATTTGCAATTATTTAATTAATAAAATGAAAAAAATCACAATCATGTATAATTTTTTCTTTCAAGCATAAAATAATTTTTATATTAATACTAGTTCAAAAGTCAAATTACGACCTCTATACTGTGGAGAGAATTAAAACGCTCGACTGACGAATACAAATCTATACCGTGGCGAGATTAAGAAAACTGTATTCATCTATCCTATACACTTCTATATTTTTCCGTTTGCTGTGAACCATGGTTCTCTGGATAATTAGCATAAATAGCACACAGAAAAAACGCTAGCATAGCATGAATGGGTGATCCATTAACCCCCAGCCCACCCAACCAATCCCTTGTCTATGATTAAAACAATGGGATCTTATAATCCGTATTCCTGAATAACAGTTAGCACTTGGTGTATAATCGTTTACTGTTTTTAAATTTAAAACAAAAGTTATCGTTCCTAAATCTATTGATATTTATATTGATATTTATTCCATTTTATGTTACAATGTTATTGCATTAAATAGTATACTAATTTGATTTATTTAATAACGTTACTATATTATGTATACTATGTATACATTTAACGCAATAAATTCTTTGACATTTAGGCAAAATGTTTCCCTATTTTGGTTTTATAGTAATTAATTGAGCAAATAACAATTTAGATTGCTTCAATTTTAATGCATTCAATGACAGCGCTGTTCTTGGTACTATGTTAGATTTTTTTATGTGTAGTTATTATAAATGTGATTGCTTAGTAAAGATCATTTTTGTGGTCATACTGATTCAATCCCCCCAAAAACGGTTTTAAATTTTTTTTGAAATTTTATAATATAATTTTTATATATATATATATATATATATATATAAAATTTATATTTATAACGAGAAATTGTAATAATTTCTATTTTTCAAAAATTAAACTTATTTTTAAATACTAAAAAGCATTCAATTCCCTATCATGTATATATATATACATATATGTATAATATACATTGTATATAAAGTATATCTCTGGGGCACAGATATACAACTGAACGTTTGATTTTGCAACCTATTAATAAAATGAAGTAAAATAATAAAAGGTTTAAGTACAAATTTTTAATATTAAAATATAATTTAAAATAGATACAATAATTACTAAAAACTAAAAAGGACTAAGCCGATATTCACATGCGAAGGAAGGAAGAGGGATCGGGATGCAAACCAAAAAATAATTCTTCTGAAAACCGAAGAAACTTCAAAGTTCGCAGGAGAGGTGATGTTTTACTTTAACTTAACAAATTATAGACGGATACCGGGGTTTCTTGAAGAAACAAAGTTCAACAACTCTTCGCTGTCTTCACATACGAAAGGTTTTACGTGATGACAAGCCACATCGTGCCATTTGATACCATCGTTATAGAAGTTGTTTAGGATGGAGAGGCAAGATTCGTCATTACCCTGAAAAAAACACAAATGATTGATTTATTATTCTGATTTAAAACTATTTTAATATTCAAATTCAAATTCATTCATAAATATCGTAAATTTTAAAACCGTTATCAACATAAATTTAGAAAGTCAATAACCTCAATTAAAAATTGGTAAATTCGGATATATTATCTTTGTGTAAATTAATTGTGGAAGTTACCCAGACAGGAATATGACGTCTTAATTAAGTCTGCATAAGCATTGATTTTATTAAAATCATTTTAATAATTTGCTCGTATTCGCTTATTTTAGGAATTGCGATTACTTCGTCTCACTTTTGTTTAAATTCAAGCGTGCTCTTCACCGGCACCGATAGACGGCCTGTTTCGCTCTTTTGGAGCTCGTCAGTATCGGGTTTACCTAGGTCTAAGACCTTTTGGTATGGAGCACGCTCTAAATTCTACTTCGCCGCTTCTTATATCAAACACAAGCAGTTACAGCGGTGAGAAGAAAGTAATCGCATTAAAATGTCATAAATGTGACGTCTCCATGTTGACTTCTAAAAGAGTTAATAGTATGATTTCAATTGGAAGTAAGAAATAAGAATACTCTGTAAGCTCAAAATAAATTGTTCAAAAAGAGGTCAAGAAAAGATATTCATTTGTACGTAAAAATATTGACTTCTTATTTATGAGTTCATTAACAGCTCAGAATTCTGAGCTCATAAAAAGGAGCTGTTTAAGACGTCATGTTAGAACTTCTACACGAAGTTGTTTAAAAGACTTCATACTGAAATCTAAATTGGATGCTGACTGGGTAGTTATTAAAATCGGTGTTATGGTTGGCATTATGTATAAATCAAAGAAAAGATATAGTACCTTGTAGGAGTAATTGAATTAAGCGTCACAAAACAGGTTTATTTTGACGTTGCTAACGTCATTTAAACCTCAGCAGACGTCAGTGTGCTACCTAACAATTGTTGATTTACCACTTTTAGGAATACATAATGAATAAATGTAAATTTTGTTTACGTTTTTATAAATAAACAGAAGAATTCTTGTAATTGTTTACAATATGAATATTAATATATACCAAGAATAATATTATATAAAAATAATAATTTATATAAAAATAATTTTAGCTACGAGAACATTTAAGTCCTTAGCGTTTCAAAAAGAATACCTATATAGGTATAATATTAGACTTTGTCAAAATAACTTTTATCCGAAATCGGCAGTAAAGTAGTCAACAATCGGCAGTAAAGTAAAAGAAATCGGCAGTAAAGTAGAACTTTACTGCCGATTTAATAGAGTATTGTATGCAACCCATTATACATTTTAAGATGTATCTACTGCTACTCAGCAGCAGCTAAATAATATTTTTTTAAAAAGTACCGTCGCGGAGGTCGATTGGACCCGTTCATAAAATGTTGTTTAATAAAAATAAGTTAAGTTAATTTTATTAATCAGATTAAAAAATCGCCGCGGCGCGGGCGTCGCAACAAACAGTATACGTAGACACTTCCTACATTCAAATGACATTTGATTTGATCATGAAATGACATTTGATTTGATCATCAACCCACCCACCCAACTTATCCCTTATCTATGATCAATATTAATTATTAGTATTATTAAATGTGATCTCGGATAAAATCACAGATTATAAAGATAAAATTTAATATGCACCTCGGCATTAAAGTCATTTTTTATCACTCACGTGGTTATTTGCCTCGGCTTTCGCCTCTGCAGATAATAATAATAATAAACACATTTATAATTTCCACATTCTTGGTAAAAAATACTGACTTGATACATAAATAACTATTTTTTTTTTATTAAATTTATCTAAAAAGTTTCTTCAATATGAAAAAGAAATTCTCCTAAAGTTTGAGCTTAATATCTCTAAAATTGAGCTGGCGCAAAGGGGGTCCCCTTCCCCATTTAAAATACTTGGAACTACATGAATATATTCTTTTTTTAATTTTGATTCTCACTACCTTATAAGAAATTTAGTTCTCTACAAAATTGTGCCTATGCATTTTTTCTTTAAACTCATCAGAAACAAAGTTACATAGCGCTGAATAGGAGGAAAAAAATAAAAATCGAATATTATAATATACAGTCGAAATGATGTAGAAAAATTTGATATAACCTAAATTTAATTTAGTTGACGATTCGTATAATACTTGGGCTATGTTCCGTAATTTACTGTCAGTACTGTCGGTACTGAAAACGCATTCCGAAATCCACTTTCAGTTACTGAGCTCAGTGGTAAATACTACCCTTTTATAAATGTACGGCAGATTAATTTGACTGAAACAACTGGGGGCAGAGAGGTGTTGTGGCTCCAGTAAAACACATAACCAAACTTTTATACAAAAAATAGCTGTCAAATAAAGTGAAGGATATAAATATAATGGTATTTGGTGAATACCTATAGGACTAATTATTTCAATATTTATTGATAAAATATTACTTGAAAGTACAAGCAGCAGTGACGAAGGCAGGTCGGCGGGGAGTACGCATATGAAGACCCAGAATCTACCTTCTATAGTACTACCTATAGGTAGTACCTAGAAAATGTTAGATATTTGTATTCAGCGGACGAATTTAAGAGTAATTTTTGGTATTTGGCTTATTGTTGTGGTGTCAGTGAAATTTTATATTTCCTATTCCTATATAAATTTTTCGACGCGGACGACGATAACATTAAATTTTCCATATTTCTCTGCCATAAACCAAACATTATATTTCTTATAACTGTTATATTTATTTTTTATTTATGTTCTCTGCTGTGCCGAAAGTAAAGTTTGTCAATTGTCAGTAAATCACAAATCATAACTTTGCATAACCATTGTCACTTTCTGCTGCTACTGAGGCGCGTTCCAATTTCACTGTGCATCAATACTGAATAAATTACGGAACGGTCCTTTTCCGCTACAGTAGCGGACAAACTTTACTTTCGGCACAGCAGAGAACATAAATAAAAAATAAATATAACAGTTATAAGAAATATAATGTTTGGTTTATGGCAGAGAAATATGGAAAATTTAATGTTATCGTCGTAACTGACAGTAAAATTACTGACAGTAATGGCAGTAAATTACGGAACACAGCCTTGGACGTATTCATATGTCCGTGGTATTATATATTTTAAATCAAAGATAATAAATCCCCCATTTATGAACTGACTATGCGCATAAGGTAAAATGATAGGTAAATCGACAAATTATTTTTAAGGATTTAAAAACATTGCATTTTTAGAAAGTAATAAGAAACATGTATTTACCTGAGCAGCTTCACGGTTGTCGGGTTGAGCTTGTCCGTATCCTCCGGTGTAACTCCAGTCCCCGGAGTTTCTTTGAGTGGTGGGTCCGATTTTGGCACCAGAACCGGACCAGAACCATCCGTTGATATTTGGGGGTTGTAAGTCGGGCCTGTCGCAACCGGCGAAGTTACATTTGCGACCTAAGAAAAAAAGTATAAAATTATTAAAATGCCATGATGATAAAGATAAACACTGTTTAAAGACAGTTTTATTTGACAATCTATCTGACATATGACAACTTTCAAGCGGTTTTAACCTCACTTTATACTACTTTGTCATGTGTCAGACGGGTTTAACCTCTCTTTTTCCAATTGGATGCACTTAATACACCACATGGTACCATGATACGCCAAGTTTATTAAATGTAGGAGTAAAAACTTATTAACCTGAAGTCCAGATGTAACGGACGTTTCCGCGAGATATCCTTTGTTTTATGAATTCGTTCTCCTGTGGCGTTTCCAGGGAGACGGCGTCCATGCAATGGCGTCTGCAGATGTTTCGGGCGTCAAGCCAATCGACTTCCAAGCCTCTGGTCGCTTGATGTTCCCAACTGAAGAAGTACGAGTGCGTTACGCCGCGGGCGTCTCTGTAGTTTGCGTGACGAACACCTTAAAAAAATCAAAATTCAGTTTATTATTGTTTTTTGTTATACTACAAATGGCAAGTGTCAAAGTTTTTATTTTATATTTTTTGTTAGCATACAATAATTAAAAACAAATAGTCACTACTAGATGTAAAAATTTTTAGTTGAGCGTTCAGTGAAGTATCTGTCTCTTAAGCGTTCTCCAAATATTTCGAAGTATTTAAATACGGGCCATTTAACGGAAACACAGAGAATTGAAGTTTTAATTCTCATAGGATGTAGAAATAAAACTAACACACAATAAGAAGTTGCAATTTATTTAATGCAAGGTATCCAGCTAGACCTACACCCTAAAGAAGTATCGGTTTTTCGCAACGCACGCGCCATCTGGTGGACTTCGAATGCATCGCGTGAATTTAAGAATTGTCAAAAATAAATTTAAAGCACAGATTATACATCATTTTTAAATAAATAGGTAGTTTTTTTACAAAAGAGAGGAAGGCAGAAGTTGTATAATCTGTGGGCAGAAGTCTTACTTGACAAATTTTGTTCAATTGCACAGCTAAATCGCGCACGTTATTTGTGTTTTACGTTGCAAGGAAAAAATTAAAAAAACTTTTTTAGAACTCGATTTCGATTGATTATTCCATATATTATTAATTAAGAAACTCAACGCTTAAATGCTTATATAGTTACGTTAGTGTGTGTATTTTATCAAAGGGATCATGGTGAATTATTTGTTTGTTTTTAATTGTAAATAAAATTCGGCAAGTACATTTGATGATAACTTTACCTAATATAATTTATATTTAAGTTTGGACATTTTTAAGAAATTAGTAAAAAATAATTTTTGCACAAACATAACCTTAAAATCAACCATTTTTATATTTGAGTTCTCTAAAAAACGCCGACAACTGCATTTTAAACAACAAAATATAGGTACCTACGATATCATGGCAAAATATTATTATATATAATACATAATATAATGGTATTTTACCGTTGCAACGCATTGAGTGGAGACTTTCTTAATCAACGCTTTTAATAATGCTAAATGCTGTTTAAATTTAGACGATTTTTACTGAATTGAAATGTTTACACTTTTCACGTTAATCACTACTAAAATGTGTATTTATTGTATCTAATAGTTACAATTTATATTTACAGAGACTGTATGCAATTTATTTCTTCGTTCAGATTAACACTGTTTATTGGAAAACCGGTAAAAACTCAACCTAGGATTTCCTTTCGAAATACACCCAACAACACAACAAATCGAGCCACGGTTTTTTTTTCTATATTTTTTAACATTTTCCGGCTTTATTCTCAAAAACGTTTGTAACCTAAGCTTTTGACAGCTGATTTTTTTAAGTTCTACTTTTGTTACGATGATAACAGAAGTATTAGTGAAGACAATAAAATTGACATTTTGTTATTTGTGGAAGAAAATCCTTAGTGCTTATAGCCTAGTCGCAGCTGAAAGTCGAGTCAGCCAACGCTCAGTATTAAGTATTATGAAGAAAGAAAAGTACCATCCATACAAAATTAGACTAGTGCAGGAACTTAACGAAGATGATCCGGACTGTAGACTACAATTTTGTGAAACTATGATGAATTTATGTAACAATAATCCACACTTTCCTAGTAAAATACTTTTTTAGTGTAATTTTTGATCGCTGATATCTTTGAAACGGTTGATCTGAAGAACTTTGACCTTCAGATGTTTTTTGTAGAGCTTGAAGTTTCAATATATTATATATATTATTTTTAAGTGGTTAATAGTTATTTACGATATAAGTGGGATAAGAGCTTTATTAACGTACGCATGCGAAATTTGCCCAACGAGTGCGTAGCACGAGTTGGGCAATCGCAAAAGTACGTTAATAAAGCGTTATCACACGTATATTGTACACATTTTTATCTACGCCTCTAAATGAAAAAATAAACGGTAATTATTTTTGTCTAAGACTTAATTTAGGGTTATTTTGACATTTTGACTTTTTTATTTGATTGGTTAAAAACAGAGAAAAACGCGTGCGTTAATGAACTTCTTATCTCACTGGCGTAGATAAAAAAAAACATAACCTTACGAGATTGTAATTATGTACAATCCAATCTTTGCTTTCAGTGGTAACGATTAAAAGTTTATAAAGATGAAAATATAACTGCATTTTCATTGACTTCAGGGTCAATAAAAAAATCCTAATAAGTATGTGGGTACACAATTTCCAATAAATGCACTTTAGGTATGATGCAAGATAATTTATTATCTTTGTAATTAGAATTCAAGTTTATACTTTAAGATCACACATAAATAATAAATTATTGCGTTTATTATTGTATTTAATTGAAATCTCATCAAGTAATTATTTTTTTATTATTTCAAGGATATTACGCTGAAATAAAAAAGCTATTTATAAATTATAATAACATAAATTATTATATTATTTAGCAATTTTCTTTATAGCTTGGGGCCCCTATTTGATGGGGACCCCCGGGTATTTTTTTACTTACGGTTGGAACAACTTCTTGGATCCGGTAGAGCCAATCTTCTTTGAGCCATAACCATGGCAGCCCCTACCACAAGGAGCAAAAGTTCTCTAAACATTTTGTTTCTGAAAAAAAAATTAGTATAATTAAATATAATACATTTTGGTTTATTAAAGTTCTTCCTTAATGTGTTTTTAGTTTAATATTAACATTGGTACTTTTACATGTTGTTTAAAGGTTGTTATTTGTCAAATAATGCGTATATATCATCATTATTTAATCGTTTAAAAATCTTTAAAAATATTTTTGTAGAAAATTGAATGCTCTACAAAGAAGGACTGATGAGTTTAAGAGATTACTCTAACCATTTAAAAGATATTCAACATCAAAGTTTAAAGAATTTATTAAAACAATTTTTTTTTAATAATTTTGTAACTTATTTAAAAATAATTATAGTCAAATAAGAATGACATATTTTTGAAATTGAACGCTCTACAAGCGTCAGCACTTTCTAGAAGCGTCTAAAAACCTAGCGTATAGGCATATATTTTTTAAAACTTCCAATGAATAGTTTTTATGAAAGCAAAACACCTACAAAAATTTGTATTCTGGGTTGTCTAATATAAAAGTGTTTTAACAGTTTGTTTTCTAAAAAAATCAATTTAAACAATTATTATTTGTTTTTATCAAGTTGTCATGATCTTATAAAAACAATAACAGTAACTATTGCCAACGTAAAAAACATAAATTTAGCAAAATAATACTTTATGTCAAACAAAACGCCTACATTTTATTAATTTTTAAAAAAGAAAATAATAAAAACTTACAAAAATGGCGGATGCGCCGGGATTAATTTTAATCTTTATGTTTCCATTTATTACAGTACGCAAAATTGATAAATTTAAAAGGCGAATCAAATTAAATTTTAATCTTTAAACCTTTGTCTGCAAATTTTGCAATTATTGCTAAACTTAAATAACTTTCAAACCGTGGGAACAATCTTTTATTATAACAATTTCAAAGCAATTAGGGTACATTTTTGTTGACCTTAAACAAACGGTTCGTTAACATTTTATGTTGATTTATTTAAAAAAATTAATCAACCATACAAGAGCCCACTTAAATCGGACCTTCAAAAAGCAATTTTAAAATTCATTGTGAGCTTTTATTTTTATCTAGATAATTTTAACAAAATAGGGTGGCTTTTATATGGGTGATTCTACAAAAGTTGGACAACTTGATGTCATCAGTCAATAGAGTAGGTTTTTTAATATTTTTTTGTAAATATTTTAGTATACAAAAGATCAAGGTTTTTTTAACTTGTCCACCCAATTTTAATGTATTTTTTCAAAAGCACGTTTGTAGAAAAACATAATAAATATTCAAAACATCAATACCTTGGCGTGTCACAACTCCTGAATCAAATATTAGAGTGATTTTATTTTAAAATATATTTAATTTATTTTAAATTTTTAAATTTTACTACAAACTATAAAACATTAAATAATGTATTCTTCATATTTTATCATAGATTCGAATAATAGCAATTTTTAAAAAATTGATAATCTTTGTACTCACTTTTACCCGTCAGTTCTTTGTCCAATGTTAAAATTCAAATTTCCTGCGAAATATTGAAGTTTAAAGGTCAAGTCCTCGTTTTAACTCAAGTGTTGGTAAAAAATTACCTACAGAGCCCGCCCTTTGCACGACAGTCATCTTGAAAACAATGCAAGCGGCGAAGTTGTGGTGTATAGTTCCACTCAAAATTTCAGTACTGTGGTGAGTAGTTATTTTCTTACGTATATATATTTCATTGTAATTTATATAAGGCTATATGTCATTTGTTGATAAGTAGCATCCACTTATAAAAAATATCAGTAAAATACTTGATTTCGAATTATAATCTCAAATTTGTATCCCATTCATCAGTACCGTGTCGTCAGTTCCATATTCGATGTTTCGGTTATCTTTTTTTCGCAAACTTCAATTTTAATTCTGCTTGCGCAGAACTTGTTTATTTATTGTCATTATAGACTCATATAAATTTGGTGTGGGTTCCATATCTAATAATTGAGATATCGGTATACCCAAAATCCACCAGCCGCCACCGATGTGTGGTATTATTTTATTTTAAGATATTTAATGTATAATATGCTCAACGTTGCAATAAATCTTATATTTTCCAAATTATGTATTTAATTAGTACCCTGGTATACTTGTCCCTTTCCTTGGATTCATATTTAGAAAACACAGATATTTCAGAAACGGTTTAAAAAAGTGACGGCCCGGTCTGGAACAGTATATTTATTATATTATCTATGTTCTCATAACAAAATACTGTTTATGCACGATGACATTATAATATGACAATTATAACAAAAATTCTTTGACGTAAACGTCTTTTTATAGCCCGCGGGCGTTATTATGGCCCAGCGGGCTATAATAAAACGTCAAAAATTAAAAACAACAATGTTACACCATTTGATATATTCGAAGCACAGACCTGTGATTCGAAGTAAGTTTTTTCGTATAAAGATTTTGATTTTACCGGCAGCAGGCCGCAATTTTTCGCCTTTTCAGCTGCTTCCTCAATTTCATTTATCTTTAAACTTTAAAACTGACTGATGTCAGTTGACATAATATAACAAAAATTCTTTGACGTAAACGTCTTTAAAAACAATAATATATTAAAAATAATAATATATTAATCGTGCATAAAGTTTTGTATGCATTGCTGGCATAACTGGTTTTTATGGTCCTACGACGCTTTTCTAGCCCTCGCGCTAACGCGCTCGGGCTCGAAATAGCGCCTCGGACCATAAAAACCTTATTATGCCCTTAATACATAAATAACTATTAATTTTCTCCGAAAAGTATATAAACAAAATGAGGTCAAAAGTTGCCCAACTTTTGTAGAATCACCCATATGTCAAAAACACCAAAAGAGGTTATGTACGAAAATGTCATAGTTTTTAGATTTGCTACTGGGCAGGTAAGGCATCATTAACTAGACGACTTAATAACAGGACATTTAACCTATAAAAAGCTTAAAATTAAGAATACCGTAAACACGGGTGGCTTTAGCTCACTTTCAAACTTAATCTTAACATTTTTGTAGTTTTAACAATCACAAACATTAAATATTGTATACCAAAATTTGAGTCTTGAGTTGCTCTTTCATAATAACTATGTTATAATCTTACATAGGGCTGAGTTTTAAAAATAAAAATTAAAAACTGGGTGTGCAAAGTTACCCCCTGGTTGCGGGTTACTTTGTCTCACAGTGTATTTTCCGTATAAAATTAGCTCAATATTTTATTTTATTTTTATTAGACATAATATGTTAGCAGCGACATATAGCAATTGCAAGGGATTACCGATAAAAACAATAAAAAATCGACTTGTACTTAACCAAGGATCATCATTCCAAAGAATTGCGCATAATATAGAAATTGAAACGCGTGTATTTTTAAGAGTTTTGCACTAATGCAATATATACAACTTTAAAGTGTAATAAATCCCATTTATTTTTTTAAAACACTGATTTTCCTGTAAAATAAACTCAATAGAATTGCTCAATTGAAAGGTTTAGACCAACAAATTATAAATGTTAATTTTATCCAGCGCGAAAATTTTTTTCATAAAAGGGCTAAAGTCACCCGCGGGGTGCAAAGTCACCCGTGTTTACGGTACTTATAATACTAAACAGAGTGTATATTTTCTAGTTGTGTATATTAATCATTATTATAATTATAGAAAATGGTTTGCAATAAATAACTAATGTATTAATTACAATATTGTACAAGCATAGAAAGTTTCAACACTCTCATGTCATATTAATAATGATTTCGTAATAATGTTTAACCTATTGTTAAAAAAAATAAATACTAATCCAATGCGTTTTTAAAATAAGTAAAAAGTGAAATTGTGGGAATGCTCAAACAAACAACAGACATTGTTCAATGAATGTAATAATAATTCATACAACAAATCGATGAGAATGCTAAGAGCAAAATTCTGTAACATTGTTGTGAGTACATATGCAAAGTGGAAGAAAATTGTCATCAAATAAATGAGAAGAAAGTACATGCAAATGGTTTTTCATCACAATTGAATTCTCAATAAAAACAGCTCCAAAAAACAATATACTAGTATACTTAAGAAAGTAGGCACATGCTAAAAGTAAAAGCAAATCGAACAGTTTATTTTGAAAGGTTTTCTTCTGCCTAAAGTATTTTAAGAATCCTCATCGTTAAAAAGAAAGTCGTCGTAATGTAATGTGACACATTTTATTGGGTACTTTGTATATATTAAGGTGCTGGTATTTTTTAATGAATTATGACACTTTTTCGCAAATCAAGTCAAATTATAATTAATTTTAAATTTGTAATTTCGATTTTTCACTCAAGTTTTCTGAAAGGACTACTTTTAGAATACTGTTGTGTAAAATTTGGGTTAAAAATGTATATAAAAATCATAGATTTAGATAATCTTTGCCCTATCCTATTTTATTTTGACTAAATTGGTCATGGTTTGATCATTAAAATGTTTTGTACGATTTAAAATTACTTTTTATGAGTTACAAGCCTTTATTTGTATTGTTGCCACACCTACCATGATTTAGAACAGACAGACCATCATCACGGAACTACTGTCTACAAATGGGCCAAAATGTTTAAATTATGCTGATAAAAATCAGTATAATATTGCTAGAATCAAAATTATTATTTTTTTAATTCATTAGAAATCGCGTTTAAATGTATATTAGTACCTTCATTATCTGTAAATTGCTTTATTTTTATGCACTAATACGTCGACTCCTTAATTTATGGATATACAGGGTGCAGCAAACTCATCTTTGCGCATACATATGGGTATTTTTGTTTCATTGTTGTTTTAAGTTTCTATTGCGTTTTTTATTCGATTAAACTAAGCATATGAATATATATACCACGTTACTATTAGTTTAATTTTATTTTAATGTTTTTTTATGGATAACTTGACAGAGAATAAATTTTTGCAAATAGTTATTATTGTTCATTTTTAATTTGGCTACAAGATCGTTCCTACTAAAAAATGTTCAATAAAATTTACTATAGGGTCGTTTTGAGGGGTGGTGAATCACG